GTTGAGCATCAATAATTGTTAACGCAAAGTTTATATCTACTGCTTATATTATTTGTTTTTAAACATTAGTTTAAAATAGTAAAGTTTAATAGTTTTTTTATTTTTTTTTTGATTTAATGTGCTTTTAATGTATTTCTAATAGTGGTTAAGTGAAGATAATACAATTCAAATATGGATGACAAGTCGTGTCGTAAATCGGGTCGAAGATCTCGAAAACCGATTAAGTTTGGGATCGACGACAACCAAACAGTTACCACTAGTAAACAACTCACTGAAGAGTTGTCGACAACTATTAGTCATTCACCGGAACGTAAGTAATTATGTTTAGTTTTTTAATTTATAAATTTTATTTTTATTATAATTAAATAACTAAATGAATATAATAAATATATGGTACACTAATAATATTATTTCTTAAAAGATATGATTAAGAGAAAACATTCGTCCGTTAGTGGCTATAAAACAAGTGGTTCAAATGCCGAAATACTAATGTCATTTTTGCCATCAACTAAAGATGATTGTGCTCTTGAATCGATAGACAATCTGTCATCACATAGTGATCAACAAATGGCTGATTTAATAATCAAATTAAGACCACAGTTACCGATATTCGATAGTACCGATGATGACGAAGAGAAAGTATTTTACTTACTTTCGTCGTCTGGCTATCAGTGCACATTGACCAATGACTCAGAAAAACAAGTCATATTCAAAGTATTCAATCGTCACTGTCAAGCCTATAATGAGTTAAGTTTAACAAATCTAATACAAATAATATTATATATTAATACTATATTTAATTCAAATTGAAGAGCTATGAAATTGCTATCGAATAGCAAAAATGAGCGTCACTTTACGGAAATACGCGGTATTATGGCTTATATTTTTGCTTTAAGATTTCCATTATTGTTTGGATCAGCAGAGAAAACGTTTGTAAGAGTTTAACAAAAATTGTTTTTTCAATACATAAAATAATTATTTATTATAACAAATAAATCGCTTAAAAAATTTACTTGTATTAAGGGAATGATTTTAACAACTGCACGAAAATGGCTATACAATAGACGTCATAGACTTAAGCAAAATGGTTAAAAATAATATAGTTAACAATTAGTTTTAATGATATAATAATTTTTTGGATGCTAAAATTATTAGGAAAAAAAGATGACAACCAACAACAGCAGAGCGATGATTCAGAGTCTAATGAGACTGACGACAACACAAAAACGTATAAATAATTAGATAAATTTATTTAATAGAAACCAAAAAAAACAATATAAAATTATAAATATATTTATTATTTTTAGCGAAGAAGATGAAGACTGATTTGATGGTCAAAAAAAGACGTGTTTCCATAGACTTGGATTCACAGCTTTTGGATAACGAAACTAACATCGGTAATTAATAAAGAAATTTAAATACTTAAATATTTTTTTTTAATTTTTATAAATTAGATATGCTTCAGACCGAGTTGTCCGAAAGTGACGAATCAGACAAAAGTTTACATAAACTGCAAAGTGGTATGGACAGTGATGATGAATCAGATACCATTTTCGAAGAAGTAGTTGATGAGTCTATAGAGAAAACAAAAATTAAGTAAAATATTTTCTCATAATTTCATACATTTATTGATTGATTAAAATTACTAATAATAGCGACGATAAGACTGAAACTACTGAAAAACAATTGACAAATTCATTGGTATCAGTGATGCCGTCGGCCGCGTTTCCTCCTAATGACGACTCACACACTGGTAATAGAATTTTAAATATTGTAACTCTGATAACAACTAAACTACTTACATCAATCGGCACTAGTTTCATGTGATGATTCAGCGAATGTAATCAATAAAACCGTTACGACAGCCGTAGACTAATAATGAAGAGTCGCCTATTAAAAGTGATAGTTCATCACCATTGATGAAAAATTTATTCAATAAGATTATTGATAAAAATCGAAAAAAACGACTTCGATTAGCTTATTTAGATTCAGAGGATAGCAATAATAGTGATGGCAGTGGTGAAAACAAATTTGTCAATACAGATGAAGAGATGAACTCATTAACGTCTTCGCAACAAGTAAACTTAATTTATAAACTAAATACAATTAATTTTACAACATTTTCGTCTAATTATAACATTGTAAGTCATTAATCATCTCGACAAACTCTGGCTTTGGGACCAAAAACGCAAAAATCAATACAACAGGTATAAAGTAGATTATATTTTTTCTAAATAATTTAAAATTAAATTTATTAAAATATTTTATAATTATTATATAGAAATTTCATTTATTAATATGATGATTGAATCAAATGATCTATCGTTTGAAACCTTAACAAAACTTATAGCAATGCCGTTACCGAATAACAGCAGATCTTTGATAACAACATTGGTAAAATCATAACATCAAAAATAACTAACTAACTAATTAATTTAAAAACAATACCTATTAATTAAAACTTATTTAACTTATCATCTATATTAACAAACAGATAATTGATAAATTCAATTCAACTCATTCTAATGACTGCAATAAATATGGTATTCTGGCGGTAGACGCGATTTGTTATGAGAAAATGAATAAAATTGCTATTTTGTTATTTGAATTGATTTCTGGTGCCAAACAAATGTTTACGGAAAACGAAAAGATTACTAATCTTATTGATATAGGTGTAAATTCGAAATCAAAAGGTATAAAAATTTCATACACTGATGGGTTCAATGATTTAAAAAAATGTTTTTTATTTAATTATTATCAAATTTTTTCTTGTCAATCAATCAGATTTAGTTGTTCCACTGGTTGTTCTATTGATACTCGAAGAGTTGACAATAGCTAATGACTGTCGCCGCATATTTGTCGGTTCCGATGAATCGAATAAACCGGATTTTGTAGTTGAAAACAATGACGGCATATCTACTAAAACTTATTTGCCTCACATACAAATTCATTGTTTTCGTTGCAATAGTTTGAACCCGAAAACTGTTGATCTAAACGATGAGATTTTGATTAAGTGTTCTCATTTTAATCTGATTTATGTCTCATTGTATGGATCAGATTTTAAGATCGCCGAAAGCCACTGCATTATGGGTGCAATAAAACTTGCAATAATTATACATAAACTGTTTAACATCAGCTACGCTCCGTCTGCAAGTCGATTCTGGTTATCAATAGAAATGTATATCATTTCGATCTTTAGAGATTATTCGGTAAATGAAGAAAATGACGTCAAATTTGTTGACAAATTATTCGAAGATATGGTAAATGTCGGCAAAATGAAGTCAACGGATATCGAAAACCCTACTAATAATTTATATATTTTGCCGACTAGCGAAGACCCTGACGCATATATTGAGCCAAATTTGTCCAAAGATGCCGATTACGAGAATCGATCGAATGTGTCGCCAACAATTAGCAATGACGACGCCGACAACTAAGTTGTTTATATTAATAATATATTGTTTTTTTATTGTTTAATTCAATAATTAATTAATGTTTAATTTTTCAGTAATTTTTTTTCTTTTTTTCATATTTCTAATACATTTTTAAAAGTATTTTAATTACTTTTTTGATAAGTAATTTTCTTTCTCTATTTTTATAATATCAAAGTAATTTTGTTTCTTTTTCATTAATCTCATTAGTAAAGTAGTTATGTTACTTTACATTTAATCATTAATTACGTTATTTAATAAATATATTGTTTTAAAACGTTATTTATGTATGTTTCTTAAGTAAATATATTTCTTTAGAGAAGAAGTAACTAAATTACTCCGATGATGAATTCAATGACTGAGTAACWAAATTACTCCGATGATGAATTCAATGACTGAGTAACWAAATTACTCCGATGATGAATTCAATGACTGAGTAACWAAATTACTCCGATGATGAATTCAATGACTGAGTAACTAAATTACTCCGATGATGAATTCGAACTAAAAGTCAAGTTCATTACAATTTTGTTGAATTCGAACTAAAAGTAATAAATTTACTTATGAAATTTTTTCAACAACAACAATTTCAAAGTAATAATAATACTTTTTGGTTGCTATTGGCTACAAATGTAGCGTAAAAAACGCCAAATACAGTGGCGCCCCACTTCCCACTGTGGAGAAATAAATAACTATAAATGAAATGTATGGCAAAATAAAATCTAAAAGCAAAAGTACTGTAGTTTGTTGTTTGTAATAGAAATAAGAAGTGAGAGGAAACACATATATATATATACTATTATATAAAGTTACTGAAAATAATGGAAAAATCGGTTTTCATATCTTTTATTATTCATCTTTCAATGCATTTCTAATCTCTATTATAGGTTTATTCAATATTTATACTCATCTCAGCTTAAATTGACTTTTTCTCAGATTTTGCCAAAAAAAACCTTTACTTTAGTCAATATGTAAGATATACAAAGTATTATACTATAAGACTATTTGAAAATTGAATTAAAGTTGATTACGTTTAATGTTTGAGATATAATGTCTTATTTTGTATATATATTATATATATATATATATATATATATATATATATATATATATACATCTATCATTATAAATTAGTATATTTGTATTTCAAATAACAAAAGTAATATTTTTTATGAAACTGTATTTATTTGCTATATTATACAAAACATTTGAATTAATTTACATAAAACTATATAAATAAGACTTTTGTAGATTGATTTTTTTTGAATTATAAAAACTTATTATTTTAGAATATATTTTAAATAAATGCTAAAAAAGTGCCTAAGTTTCTAAAACATGTAGTTTTATCTAATAATTATACAATACAAAATGCTAATTTGCGAGTATGCTTTATCTAAAACATAATAATAATAATTATTATTATTGAAGTCTATTAATAAATGAGAAAAAAATATTATTAGAAATTAGATTTCAGAAATAAGTGTTTGTGTTATGAAATGAATTTGAAAGCTAATGTAATAATCATATTATTATTAATAATAATAATAAGATTTGACGACAACTTTTTAGGAGTCAATTTGTGTTAAAGAAGTGCATAAAGACAGCGCTGCCTATAGAGATGGAAGACTACGTAAAGGTGATCTCATATTAGCCGTTAACGACCGATCAATGCGCGACATAACCTTCAAAGACGCCGTTCAAGTGCTCAGAGAGGCTCCCAGTCCTCTACGGCTGATTATACTGAGAGAAAACGCACAAAAGTTATTCACAACACATCAATGTAGGTATGCTTTTCATTCAATATCCATTAGAGACATACAATTACTAACTTATTTAATATTAAAAAGGTGTCATTTATTACTAATTCAATATATATATAACAAAAGTACGTTTTTATTAAAAACAAAACAGATGTCTATATATTTGTCAATTAAAGTTTGGATATATATATATTAGGATATAGAGTAAAACATTGTATAGTGAATATCGGTATATTTTTTAGTAGACATTGTTTCAAAATACTGTCTTAACAAATATCATAATAAAAAACATAACATTTAAAATATACAGTACATAAATCACAAATTTAAATCTACAATAAATTAATAATAATAAGCGATAAACGCAAAATTTTAATAGTAGTATAATTTCTAAAAATTGAGATATTTATAAATTAAAATGTTATTATTATTATATTTCAAAATTTTTCAAATAAAGCAAATACAGGTATAATTTAAATAAATATTTATTTCAATATTTTACTCGTTTATCACGAATTTTTGAAGAATCAATTCAAAATGTTTTTAATGCACTTTATTTTTAAAAATAAAATATTATTTTTAAATATTTTAAAAATAACAAATTTAATTTTTAATTTATTTTTGTAAATTATTTATTTAAAATATTCATTTGCATGAAATTTAATTAATTTTCAATATTTTTTCTAGATTTTAGGTTCGTTTTATAGAATATTATTTTATTGCATAAAATATAATTCATATAAAACTTTTTAATTTTATATAATTATTTATTTATTACAAGTCATTGCATTAGCGGTCATCTAATGTTGAATGCATTGTATGTATAAAATATTTGAATTTAATTTTTTTTAATGATTCAGATTTTTATTTGAATTTATAATACTTTCACTTCTTTTACATAATTTAGTCGCAAAATGAAAATATTATTCACAACTATAGCAGTATTGAAATAATTTGCATAAATAAATAAATTTTAAATCAAGTACTGTATCTAAGAGTATATTTTATAAATAAAATTATTTTAGTTTCCAAACTATGAATTTTGAAAATTAAAGCACAAATTTACAGAACTATAGAAAATTAGTGGAAATTTTATTAAATTTTTTAAAAAATAAATATGTTTTTAATAAATAAATTTAAGATATCATAATTAACACTTTATTTAATTGGTATATTGAATTAGTGTAATCAATAGGTACATACATTTATTTATACAATACAATTTTTATACATTTATATTTATATATAAATTTTATTTAGATTATTTATTAAAATTTATAACTTTTTGTTAAATCCAATTATTTTAATATTTTTGCAAAAACATGTTTAATTTGTTTATTAATATTAATTTAAATATATCTTTTAGTATTTATTTTGATAAGTTATAAAACATAAATAAATTACAAGTTAATTATATAGCTAACTTTAATTATTGCTGTATATCTTATATTAATTACTATATCATTTATTTTATTAAATGATAATTTTAGATTAAATAATTTACAGTTATAAATTAAATTATTGATTAATTGATGATTGTTTTAACAAAACATATTTGTAATTTTTGCTTAATTTTTTTCAAATGATTTAAATAAATTAATATCTTAATATTAATATTATAAAATTTTTATGTATGAAAGTGCTACACAACTCATGCTAAATAACATGTATGCAGTCTATTGTGTTAAGTCACAGATGTTAAAAATCAATTGAAAGTTTATATTATATAAAATTAAATGAAAAACAACTTTAAATGAAATATATCAGAGAGAGAGAGAGAGAGAGAGAGAGAGAGAGAGAGAGAGAGAGAGAGAGAGAGAGAGAGAGAGAGAGAGAGAGAGAGAGAGAGAGAGAGAGAGAGATGAGTACTTCAAAATAATGAGTAGATTATTAATTTTGATGGCACTTCTCTATTATTTGAATCATTAAATGATATTATGTGAGTCTATGTCTATTATAATAATTATTTTATTAATCGATCGCTTATTTTCTCTGTGTGTTTATCACTGACTTTTATAAATAACAATAAAAGAAAGATAAATCAAATGAAAAGTATATAATATATATAAATAATACATTATTTATATATTAAATCTAATTTTGCAATACGTTTGAGAATAGCGCACACATAGTCACACAATTTTGTTGTAAATATTTAATGGCATTAAAAGTATAGTAAAATGGAAAATAAATGAAACAAAAATAATGGTTTTTCTCATTTTCACAAATTTTCATTATATATAAGATTTAAAATGTTTGTCACACATCTATAAACAATGTTATTTGGTTTTATTCAACTATTCTCTACTAATTAGCAAAACAGTTGTTTCAACATTTAATTTTATATTTTATTTAGTACTATATAAGACAATTATATGAAAATAATTTAAGTAACATTTTTATCAAACTTGTTATATTAAATTTTTACATTATTTACTACATTTACATTACATTAGAAATATTAAATAAAGAGCATATTTTATTCATTATATCCGTTTAATTATATATTTTTATGTTTATATATTATATGTTTAGGTCCGACCAAATTCATTACAGTTGAACTAAGGAAAGGGAGTATTAAAGATAAATTGGGATTAAGTTTAATGCAAAGGACTAATGGAAGAGGAGTTTTCATTACATATGTTGTAAGTATCGGATAAAAGCAAACCAAAAAAATCGGTTTTGTTATTAAAACAAATACTATATATTTGATGCTAAAAACTAAGTTAACTTTTACTGAGTATTGATTTATTTTTCAAAGTCATCTCTCTCTCTCTCTCTCTCTTTCTTTCTTTCTAAACGCTTAACCATTAAGTCATACACAGGAATGCAAACTATAATATACACTGATTTAAATTATCCTCAGCTCAGAGCTATTTATTTAGAGTATATGTAAGCGATTCAAACAACATTGTCTTTCAAAGGGAAGTCCTTCTCATATATAATAAAATTCTCTCAAATATTTGTTAAAAAATAAAAGCCAAATATTTTATATTATTTGTCATATTTATAATACAAAAAAAATTAAGTAGACAGTGATTGACATTGATTTTATACTGAATTTAATATAATAACATTTAATTAATAAATAACCAATTAAGTATTTGATATAATATTTTCAAAATACAAATTTTTACAATATGTTTTAGTATTGTATGTAAAATTATAATAACTATATTTTTAAAAAGTAATTGAACCTGTAACTATATAAATTAAATTTTTACACTAAATTTTTAATATTTATTGATAAATCTAAATAATGGCAAAATTTTGTTGTATTGTTTGATATTTTAGAAATTTTATTTTTATAGAAATATATATTTTTTGAATACAGTAATAATTAGTAATATATTTTTAAGCAATTTGCTATTTTTAGATTCAAATGCAAATCCAATTGAAAATGTCATAAATATTTACACATCAAAATTAATTTATAAACTTTATTTACTCAGTACTTAACATAATTGAATGTAAATCAAGTATTTTTTAGTAAATAAATCATTTAATAGTATAATGTTTGACTAAAATGAATGTAAATATTAAAATATATTTAATATTTTATTGATAACGACTTCTAGAAAATATATATTTAATAATAATAATAATTTATTGAATTTAATTATCGATTGATAGCAACCAAATAGTATTGCCAGTCAACACCGGGCCATTAGTCAGGGTGACCAGATTCTTGAAATTAACGGACAAAATGTGAGTATATATTAATATTTTGTTTTATCCAATTTTTGTTGTCTCTATATTATAACAGTTTTACTATTGTATTTGAATTTTATGTTGATTTTGTAACTAAATATATAACCATTAAAAATAACATTACTAACAACTAAAGTAATTTTTTATTATTTAACATTAATTAAGTTACAAAACAAATTTTGTTTACAAAATGTTAGGTTAGGGAGAGTAACCAAAAGGACGTCTCACAGATATTGTATTCATTGGACGGAAATTTAGTACTATTGTTAGGTAGAGTGCCGTCACTACACGAGTCCATTAAAGAATGGGCCCGAAGAAGGGCACAGATATTTTTGAGGACCCGGACCAGCACCTGGTCGTCATCAGTGGGCAATTGTAATGAAAAACTTCAGGCACAGAGACCCAGCCTTCCCGTCAATAATAAAGACAAAAGTTATTTCCAAATGAATTCATTATCACCTGATAGTGACATAGGAATGACATTACCGACACTTATTTGCCAAACAATTAATAATAGTATGACTGATATAACTAATGAAACACAACAACAGTTATGGAGTAGAAGTTCATCCCTAAGGAGTCAGAAAAGGCTGAGTATTGTCGCCGAAGACTCCAAACAAAGGGAATCAATGGACAGTAATTCTGATGAAGAACTTGACTCAAAACATACGACAACTTATGATAATAATAATATTGTAACACAAGTTTCAAAACAAAATCCAACCTCAGATTCACCCGATAACCCATTATTGCCTTCAATTAAAGTCACAGAATTTTGAAACAGATTTTAACCACATTTTCATAATTATATTAAAGAGCTTAAAATTAGTTGATTGCCTTCAATAAAAAAACCTAATTAAATAAATAGATATTTTATAAACACAGCACTGTATTAATATTTCATATAAGGTAATTTCATTTATTTTAGTAAAACAATTATATAAACAGTTTTATATTACTAACTTATATTTAGTATTCAATAATTAGTAATTGTATATTATATTTATACAAAAAAAATTTGTTGATCATATTGCCATCGCTAAAATATCATCTCAATACATAATTATGAAAATAATAATTAATTTTTGTATCTTAACAATAACTTACTGCTAAATTAGCCGACTATACATTTATTATTATAATTGAACTTTTGATTAGCATATTTTCATTCATGTGTTAAATTAAAATAGATTTTATAAAAGCATAAGTAAAATATATAATAATTATTTTAAAAAACATAATGTAATTTATAGAGCTTAATATATGCATAAATTCAGTTTTATAATTAATGTTATAAAACTTATTTTTATTATATTACAAGAATATATAATATTATAAAATTGATTCACATTATTACTATTATTATTATTTAAATTTAGACATTTAATGGGACCAATTTGTGCAATAGTATTCAGAAATATATATAATATCTATCATTAATTATCAAAACAACTAATATTCTCATACTTATAACAAAAATGTGTTAAATTGATTATTTAAAAAAATAATTTTATGATCCAAATAAAATATTACTCATTTAAATAGAAAATTATATTTATAAATTTAGTAATTATTATACTATTATTATATTATAATTTTTAAAAATCTAAAAAAATGAATACAACTCGATTAAACTAATTTAATTTAGTTATTATTATAATTTAATTTATATTATTAATAGTTTATCTGTGTAGAGTCAAATTGTATTTGAATAAAATTATAATTATGTTAGGCTAAATAATTTTTTAAAACTCTCATCAATGATAACAGATATTGAAAACCATTAGTATTTACAATATAATATTAATAATGACCACTATATCAATAATAATAAAAACGACTAATAACTATAATTTAATACCACTATATACAGTATATTACATATGCTTTACAATAACTTTTTAAAAACTTATATTATATAACAGTATTAAATCTGTGAATAATAACAATAATTTACTATACATAGTAGTAAAATTTATAAAAAGATTTATTAGAAAACCTTACTAAAAAGTTTTTTAAATTGAGATATTTTATATAAAATAACTATTGATATATCATTTTAAAAAATACATTTAAGTTACCATAAAAAAGTATGTCACATAAAATTATATATATATTTGAAAAGTATAATAATTTAGATAAATCTGTAACATAAATATATATATATATATAATTTTTAGAAAATATTACAATATATAGAGTATGTAGATATGATTTTTTTAAAAATATTTTATCTTAAGTAACATATAATTTAGTTATGCATCGATACAATAAATCACATATAAATAATCTACAATATATACTGTATTTTTACAATAATAATAGTAATAACATACAGTACATACAGTAATAAAAAAGTCTTTATGAGTGAATATATGGAAAAATAAATAAAATTTTGTATTTGTTGTAATACCAAAATAATTGTACTAAAAGTATTTTTAGAAATTTTAATATTGACATTATAAAATTGATTTTTCTTATATTGTTTAAAAATATTGTTTATTATATATATATATTATGTTTGTTTAAGCTGTATATATTATAAAATATACATATAATAATAATACAAATATTATACAAATATGAATAGTAATTTTGGTATAAATTATTAATTTAACAATAAAAAAGTAATTTTATAAATCCTATATACTTTATGTCAATATTAATGTATTTAGTCGTCATATTTGATACAAAACTTAAGTAATTAATTGTATAAGAAATTAAAATTATCATTAAACTAAAATATTTCAGTAAATTATATTATATATATATAATAAATTAATGAAATTGTTAATAATCATATATGCTAAATCAACCAAATCTGTCTAATACATATTTAAATTTTTATTTATTTAAATTTAAGTATAATTGTATTTTATGATTTATTTTCATACAATTTATTATAAAATCAATAAATACATAATTTATAAGTTATATGTATATACTGTATAATGTATTACATTTATACCAAATTTCAAACAAAATATTGGTTAATGCTATTTAAAAATTAATAAATATAATAATAATGAATAAGCTTTGTGTGTATGGATAAGGAAAATGAAAAAAAATTCAAAATATAAAATTTCTACAAAGTTTCTAAAACTATTTTATAAAATTTTGATTTATGAAATAACTATAATTTTTTATTAACCATAAATTAGTTTATTATAATATTATATTAATATCATATAAAACCTTTTATTGTGTAAAATATAGCGAAATGAATAAGTTTTGTATAATTTTTATTTTAACACAACATTAAATTATATGTGTTTTAATTTTAATCAATTAAATCAATTAAGGAGTCAATGCTTTATAATCAATGACTGTAATTTAAAAACTTTTATAATAAGTTATATCCGAAAGTTTTTTTCGTAGATAATTAATAATCATTTTTATTTGTCTCAATCATTAAATTGAAGTAAATAGGTTTCATAAGCATCGAAATTAAGTTCATATTTTTTGCTTATTTTTCTGTAAATTATTTTTATTTTAATTATTTTATTTTTAAAAATATTGTATTAATTTATTGTATCAATAAAAATATGCCAATAAAATAATTATTTGTTATAATGTTTTTACTTTACTTTAAATGTCAATTGACTATAAATGCTAAAATTGTTATTTATAATAAAATAAAAATAAACAAAAAATATATAATATATTTACAGCAAATTTTAATATAGTATTAATTATTGTTAGTTATTTTTTAGTACTTTTTAAAATTTAAATTAATTAAAAAATTATTTATGCTTTGTTAGTTAACTAAGTTAATATCAATTGTAAATAAAAATTTTGTTAACAAATCAAAATTTATTCAAAAACATAACAAGCAAACTATTTCGAAACATTGCTAATTAATGCCCTGGATAATTCAATAAATTTCATTAACAAATGTTGCATAAAAATCAATGCTATTATTTTAAGTCTTAAATAGATTTTCAAAATCTAATGTAATTATTCTAGATTTAGATTATTATAATAAAAAAATGTTAATATTTTTAAATTAAATTAGCAATAATATACAGTTGTATATAAACATGTTTATATAATCAACAAAAAAAAGTTTACATAAAATAGTACATAAAAATTTAATAAAATTAATGCTATAAAATGATAGCAATTTAAATCTTGGATTCTTTATTTGATAATAAATTTATACAAAAATTTTTAATCAAATAATGCAAATTCTAACATTTGTAAAGTATTTTTAAAATTTATATATTATAAAAGTTTATTTTTTTATATTTTATTTTTTTAAAATTCAGTTAATACTTTTTAATCAATTATTATTGTTATTATTAAAAGAAAGTAATATAAAGTATAACATTTAATATATAATATTATTTTGTATACTGTATGTATAGTAAATGTATTTTAATGGTTTATTTTATTATATACAATAAATACTATATTATTATACTATAAATCAATTGCAATATAGTATACCATATTATTTCCTTTAATAAATCATTAAATATAATTACAAATGATACTTAATTTTATGTAATAACAACATTATTTGGCTAATAGTATAGTAAAGATATTTTATATATTTTATACTCTATTTATTAATATAAATTAATATAAAATATATATTTATCAACATGTATATGTAATATATTAAATTTTATTTATAAAGTTTGTATATGCAATCAAATAAAATTATTTATAATAACTAAATATTAAATAAAAAATAAAAGCATATTAAAAATATTACTTAAAATACATGGTTTATTTACTATACTATTAGTTATACAGTATAATAGTACTACAATAATAGAAAAAATCTTGTAATATATTTTTAAGTTTTGCATTTATATATCACATATCTATCTTCAATATATTGTTTATAAAGTTAATGACATTTGTTTTTAAAAAATAAATTTATATAACATTTTAGATTGCAAACAAATGATAAAATGTTAAATAAATATATTGAATATAATATATTTATAAACAAATATTATATGATTACATAAATTTATAATGTGATTGAATTAGAAAACCTATAAACTAAACGGAAACATCATATTTGGTTATTGAATCAATATATATAGTATTGATATGTTATCTAATGATAGCATAACAGTCTATAAACCAATTAAATAGATCGACACCAAAATATATAAATATTGCCATTACTATCGTTTGATTAAATTATATTATTTATTATTTTAAGTTATTCAATGATAGTATTGTTAACATCGTAGTTAACAAATATATAATATATATATATATTTATATATTAATAATATATATAAATATGTTAATCGACTATAAAAACACTCTTTAAGTATACTGTATATGATATGATATACGTGATTATAATGATGTTTGATAACCACACAGTATATATGATTTTAATAATTCTGATTTATAATTAGCTTAAACAGACACTTATATTGTTAGTGTAATGTATATTCATTTTAATAATAATTGCATTATTTTTATTATTTCTACTAAATATTTTTCAAGAAATAAATAATAATAGTAATAAATGATACTCTAAATGCCTTCAAATAATATACTCAACAAACTGTGAAATAATTAAATTTAATTATTTCAATTTCTTTAAATAATTTAATATTTCAATAATTACAGAAATTAATCAAAAACTAATTAAAAATTACAATAATTATTTACTGGTATATGTCTATTGCACTTATTTAACAGTTAAATATCAAAATTTTTAATCATTTGACAAAAATAGTGTTGAAAAAAGGGTTATTTAAAAGGAAAACTACTATCAAATAGTACTTTAATATAATTTCAAGTTATTATTTTCAAGTATATTTGAAAATTATTTGATTGCAAATAAGTATTCATATTAATATACATGTATATAAAATGTACTTTACTGTATAATAACAATAAATTTTTGGTACACATTATAACTTATAAATTGGTTATATTTGTGTAAATTATTTTGACTGTGTTGTCGTCGACTAATATTAAAACTTGTTTTGTTGTTGTTGTTTGTTATGTGTAAATAAAGTTATTATAAATATATTTATTTGTATGTTTATCAGTCATTTCCAGTAAAATCGTTTCAAGTAACACATTATATTTGTAACTTATATTTTTAGTGTTTTTTTTAATACTAAAGTGTTTATTAAATTAGATGTTTATAAAAAACCTTATTATTGATATGAATTAACTTTGAATTACTAAATAGTTTTTTAAAAAACTCTATAAATAAATTGTTTGAATATATTATTATTTGAATGAATAATACAATGACTAGTAGTAAGTGTTGCCGATATTGTTATGAGAAAAATTCAAAACTATTGAAAGTTTGTGAATGCAAGGGAACGGTAGGCTTTACGTGCGAGACGTGCCTTAAAATGTATATTAAAAGCAAAGTATTGACACAATATGAAGACGATTACAATAGTTATGATAAATGCGAGTTATGTCACACACCTTACGGATTGAACATTCAATGGCAAACACCCGGATATATGACAGCACTGAAGTCGAGGCCACTATTGAAACGACTTTTGCTAATAATTATGATATTTATATTAAGCACTTCATTGACAATATTATTGATTGTCTTATTAATACTTTTCAGAAACTATAGTATATCTATAATTATTATCATTTGTCTCTCAATTACGGCATCTTTTATGTCTGTCCGCGAATTTTACATAACTTTATTGCAATACAAAAGAGAACAGTCAGAGCCTTATATTACACTAATTGATGGACAGGTTGTTTAAAATATTAGTTGTTTTTGTTAAAAAAATATATATTTAAACAATTATTATATTTGTAAATAACTTGAATTTCAAATAATTATTTATTAGACAACACAATTTTTTTATCAACATTTTGAATATTTTAAAACTAATTTATAAATATTTGACATATTGTATATGAATATATTTATTATACTCATATACTGTATATATTGTATGATTTTTTATCTAAAAAATATTTTATTAATTATTTTTTATCCTATTGATATCAAAATTATTATCGATCATAAATTGTTTGCATATTTTTAATAATTCAATTTTACTAAAATATATTTTGTGTATATACTATAATTATAGTATTGTATTTATATATATATATATATAAATATACAATTACATCATAAGTAAATTTTTAACAAACAAGATTTTTGAAAATCATTATAACTAAAGTAATTATTTTTAATTTATATGTATAAATATTTGAAGAAATCTACAATTATATGTAATAAGATATACTTAAACTTTTTTTTTAAAAATCAATAAAAATATATATTTATTTTTCATTATTACTATATTATTAATAATTTCTATAGCTATGGAGTCTATGTTTAGCATTTAAATGCATATACAAAATGTATATAAAATATATAAGAAATTCAAATGTCAGTGAAATTTAACACTACATTAATGTTGTCCTTCAATAGCCAACAGTCCTATTGTTATAATTGTATTACAAAGGGATTGTGAGGTGATGTTAGGTTTCCTACTGCGAAAACTTCTTTAATAAATAAGCATTTAGTTTATGCTTGTATTTGATTACATAAAAAATAAATTTGTAGACAAAATATATCTACAAAAATGTCATTTAAAATTCATTTCTAAAAACTTGAAGAAATAAAAAAAAGGGAAACAAAAAAAATTGAAATTCTTGTTATGAAATCTGAGAAACAAACGCTCGGCTCAGGACTTCTCTCTCTATTATATCTCTACTCCAGATCTTGTCATACGTCCAGAGCTAGTCCTCTGTGATGTGCTTTTGTCTGTTTTCACTGACAAATCGTATGATCCCTTCATCGACTCGACAGACCCATCAGTACACCTCTCTCTCTCTCTCTCTCTCTCTCTCTCTCTCTCTCTCTCTCTCTCTCTCTCTCTCTCTCTCTAACAAAGATACTGAGACTGAATGTCAAAACGATTGCTTCACTTAAATAAGTAATTGCAATGATTGTGTTAACCACTGCACAGTAGAATTAGTCAATAAAAAATACTAAATATAAAAACGATTTCTAGATTTGAAAAACAGATTCAAAAGTTTAAAAAGTTATGATAACAAATGATTGTCCACTTTTTATTTGGTCATCACTTATGTTAATATTATTTAAAATATATGCAAATCTAATCTATTGAACAAAATATATGAAATGATATAATTATTAGCAAAACGATGGAAATCTCATCTTCTAATGAAAGTGTGGTCAACAGTGACGATGACTTTATTAACAATCACTGCCAAGTGTTAAGATTTACCGGTAAGTTATTACTTGAAATAATTTAATTAATTTTTATTATAAATATTAATTAATTATTAGATTATTTTCTTTCATAAAATAGTGCTTTTATAATATTTTATTTTTTTAATAGTAATTATTGTATTATAAATCACTTTAAATAACAATATCTAACGAAATCTTGAATTTAATTTAAATATAAAATATTTTTAGATGTTTAATTATGACATATTTATTAAACCAAAATTAATATAAATATTTAGTTAATTATATAATATAATAGTTATCTGTTAACATAATTTGATAAATACAAGTTGTTTATTATTTATTTATTATATAATAATAAACAATTAATCAAAATTTAGTAAATATCATATATTATCTTTTGATGATTATAAATTGCATATCATTTAATAATTATAAACAACTATTTAATTGGATTTTAAAAAATGATTTTATTTAAATTATTGATGTTTTTAATTTAATCTATAAAATAAAAATTTTAAAAAATTAGTATTAAATTCTAAATTAATTAATTGAAATTCAATTAAGATATGAAAGGGAAGACAAAAGAGATGTATTTTCCGAAAAGTCTTGATTTAGAGAGACCTAAGAGATCGCGAACTAATTTTACGACAAAACAATTGTATGAATTGGAGAAATCGTTTGCTAAAAATCAATATTTGGTGGGAAAAGAGCGCAAATTATTATCTAAACAACTGAATCTGTCTGAAGCACAGGTATGCTATTGGAAATCATATCTTATTTTATCTAATATACGGTATATAGAGTTAACAAACTAGTGATGAGAGAGATAATTAGTAAAAACGAGAGAGAAAGAGAGTTTAATATTTAAAGTAATATAATTGATTGACACTTATTTTCAAATGAAATGCGGTAATTATGTTATTAAAAAAAAGACTATATCATTATTTTATATTTTTTTTAAAAATACGAAAAAATAAATACTTAATTGTATGTAAAAATATAATTCAAAAGTAAAGCCGACGATAATAACTTTGAAGATAAGGTCTAAAAAAGCAACAAAAATAAATAAATAAAATAAATTAGTTTATTTAAAATATGAAAAAATAATCATTTTGTGAACTAATTATACTCTATACTAATTATAATGTATACTGTTTTTGATAGTAATCGTTATAATAATTAACGAGATCTGTTTGAAATCTGATAACAAAATTATTGCAATTATTATAATATTGTAATTATTATTTAGACAATAACTTAAAAATTCAGACACGTTTATTGAAAACAAATAAATATACTTTACTATTATTATTATTACCATTTAGTATGTATATTAATAAAAATAATATTATAAATTAATTATAAAATCTTATGTTAATAGAAGTTTATATTCAACCTTATAAAAGTATTCAAAAAAATAAAATAAGGTTTAAATTGGTTTATATTAATATATACAGTATTATTATATATATTTATATACTAGTATGTAATTAATTTTATAATTGAAAATATAGTATAAATTGTGGACATATTGTAGTTCAAAATATATTAATAGAAAAACATGTCCTATAGGTATGAAATTATCTTTTCATAATATGTTTTGTCCAAAATATTGATTAAAATCTTTTATATTAAATAATAGTTTTGTAACAAAAACCATATTTAAAATTGTTAGTGAATTTGTTTAGTTAAAAAAAAATAAAACGACTTCAAAGTAGTTAATAATTTATGTAATCAACAATTTTTATTGATTATTATATAAAATCAGCAAAAATAACAATAAATAATAATTTGCAGTAAGATTTTTATTTTATTATAAGAAAAAAATAGTTAATTTAAATAAAGATCATATAACCAAATGTCAAAAATAAAGTATTATAAATTTATATTTACTAATTTAATAATAACAAATATTTCAACCATACATTCTACTGTATAATATATAACATTTTATAACATTATGAAAAATATTTCTATTTGAAGTTATTATAAAATAACACTTGGATTGAAAAATAAATAAGATTTTAAATATTATAAAAAGATAATTTTGAAAAAAAAATTTTGTAACTAAAATCATTTAATGTTTTTAAAAAATAATTTTATAGATTAAGATTTGGTATCAAAATAGGAGAACAAAGCATAAGAAGGAACAGTTAAGACATAGACAACAATTGTCAGCAAATGCCGAGACTATCGCTGCCAACAATATCATGCAATTACTGGCACAACAAACACCGTCATCACCACCACATCCTATGCCACCACAACAACATTCACACAACAATACAACAACAATAACTGTGACAAATGCCAAACAACTACACCAACCATCACCAGTGCCTTCACTTTTAACAAACAGAATAAGCCTTAACTTTGATATAACAACACTTAATAATAGACTACAATGTAATGATACGACAAAATTAATTAGTAATACATTTATTTCTAATAATAACTGTTGGAATGAAACTAATTATCTGATGAAACCAATCGATATGCCTAACAATACTTATAATACAAATCATACTAATATTTCTATACCATTATTACCAAAATAATTGTTTGCTTACAAAAAAATTAATAATAATTTTTAATACATTAATTTAATAAAAATATTTTTTGATACAACTTTATTTAAAAATAAATTTCAATGAAAACAAATGATTCATTCAAAAGTTATATATTCAAAATAATTTTAATGTTATGTATATAAATGTGTTTTAATAATAAGCAATGCAATGGTCACGTCCTGTCATATATTTACTGGTCATTAGTTTCGATGAAAATTCTTTGGGTCCTTCAATGTCTGCAGTTATCGATTGACTATTTTCAACAAACATATCAAATCCGAGTCGCAATCTATAGATTTGAAACGACAGTAATAATGATTGATATGATTTTTGGCAATTTTGTGGACACCAACAATTGATCAATTGTTCCAAATCTCTTAGTGAAGTTTTATTATTATCATGCGATTGATTGCCAATTGATAAATGAAAAAATGGTGGATTCGTTGGATAATCTAATGGTAAAAGAATAAGTGCCTTCAGTGATGTCGATCCGCGTTCAACGGTTGCCAGATATATAAAACTATTGTCGACATCGAGTGAATCCATAACTATTGAATCATTTATTTGACACAAACTATAAAAGTATTCGCTTGTAATCTCTTTAAATTCTTTGATATTAGACACCGCCTGTGGACAAGACTTTAATGTTATCTCATTCGGCAAATCAATGTAATTGGTATCCAAATTACAAAGTTGTTTCTGAAGAGCTAGTCTTGACTCAAATCTTCTTGAAATAGCTTTGATTGTCTGATCCATTGAATTAACAGAAACTGAATTTGAAATATTTTTAGCATTACTTGAGATGAAATCAAGTCCTGATATCTGTTGACACCATTTATAAGAAAAGCCTAATTGATCCACTAATGAACTAAACTCTTGAACTCCATAGGCTTTAATTGTGTGATCATTGGATGGATTCGGCGAATAATGACTATCATCTTTAGTAGTCAATAGGTTTGTTAGAAGTGATTGATTAAGTACTTCAAAATGATTAATAGATTCCTTTTGTTCGACAATCACTTTGAGTGATATTATCTCAAGACGTAAAACAAAACTGAAAACACATTTAAGTGTGGATTCATTTGATGTAAACTTTAATTCAACAGTCAATGGATGGCATGCAATCAATTTGTTTAAAAGTGATGTCTTATTTGAATGTGAAATAGACTTTCTGTGACGGGATTTCTTACTCCTTCGAGTCGACACTTCTTCATCTTCTTGTTCTTCATTTTCCTCCTCTTCTTCTGCTTTTGTATTTAACTCAAATGTCTTCACGTCATCGATAGTGCCATTGATTTTAACAGAAAACTTTGAACGAGTCGCGTGTTTATATGATATAAGTTGTACATATAGTACATAAAGAGGTCGCGAGAGATATTGTGCCATAGCGTGTGTGACATCACTGACTTGAAGAGGAAGATTCAGTTCAGAATAGAGCGGTTGTGTCGCCTCAACGATCGACTTCAACATAGGTTGCAATTTATCGAGAGTTTCTCGTTTGACAACAATCTCTTGAGAACATTGGTTCTTAACTTCTTCAGCTTTTTTCAATTGCACTTCCAATTGTTTTCGTTGTCTTAATTCCCATTCAAGTCGAGCCAAATGTGTTGAGTGTGGATTAGTTGACTTTTCTAGTAGATCTTCATCGGCCACTGTTTTAAACTCTTGTAATTCAATTAAATCGATGTCTTCATCTTTGGAGTGAAACGATAGACAAGTGTTGGCCTCTCTCTGCAAATGCATCACTTCATACAACATATTCTGGAGCTGCAGATGAAAACAGTCGACCTTTTGTTTGGCAACTTGTAGTTTATCTTTGGCGTCACGACATCGATATTTGTCCCATCGGTTCAATGTTTTTAAAGCTAAAAAATGAAGACAACCCTTGACTCGCAATGAATTCAATTGTTTGGTATCATTCGTGTTCTTCGCCTCAAGAATTTGGTTACAAATATCGCGAATTGAGTTACATCTGAGTCGAAACTCTTTGAGATCCTGTTCGGCGCTCGAGTTATTGATGGCCTCGTCTTCTTCGGCTTTCATGGCTTCCATCGATAGCTTCAAGACATCAATTTTGGGCTCATTATTGGCCGGTCGGCTCTCTTTCTGACTGTTGGCCACTATTTTAGTCGACGACGACTGACTGCCACTGTTTTGCGATGTCTTCATCCGCTTAATTGATGGCGAAGATGTTGTAGTGGAAGACTGTCGCCGATCGCGACTTTCGTCCCGTCGGGTTGTGTCCCGATATCTATTGTCGCGGCCATCGTATGAACGGTTCATGTCTTTGATTACGAAATGATTTTCTGTTTGTTTTTTAATTACAATTACTTTCAAAACAATCGATTGTTTTTCAGTCAATGCTTTGCATTAAAAATGTATTCAATTGTATTGTCATTCAGTAATTACGTTCACAAATATTGTCATCAAATATAACAACAAAAAAACAAAAAACTATTGATTTTATTATTAACTAAATATTAATTAAATTAAAATTATTATTGTTATCTAATTAAACATTTTTTAGTAAATTATGTTAATATAATTAACATTTATATTTATAAAAATATTTAATAAAACTGTATATAAATTAACAAAAAAGTGCTATTAATATATATATAAAGTGTTCATAAAAACCGTAACAATAAAATTGAGTGTATGTTGTGTTGAGTGTGTATTGTATTTGAATAGAAATCAATAGAAAGTGTATGCAATAGATGTAACACAAAGTGTATCGTTATATGTGTTAACTGTTTGTCTGAAAAGTTTCAATCAATGGTCACGTGTTTTGCAGAACTAGTAAATGAAAATCCTTTTCCGTTTTGCCAATACTTCAGTTAAGACATAAGCGTGTCTTTTAGTGACACTTTGATCACAATTATCACCTGATTGTGACCACTGAGACCTGTCTAACAATACAAACAGTATCAGACAATGACATCGGCAGCGCAATCGTCGCCCAATGAGGAGCTCCTCTTGAAGGGCACTCTTATGGGACACAACTCATGGGTGACACAAATCGCAACCAACAACCGCTTTCCGGACACCATTCTGTCGTCTTCTCGGGACAAGACATTGATTGTATGGAAACTGACCAGAGATGACGCCAACTATGGTATTCCCCAGAAGCGTCTTCGTGGTCACGGACACTTCATTACAGACGTTGTCCTCTCGATGGACGGTCAGTACGCTCTGTCCGGCTCTTGGGATAAGACACTGCGTTTATGGGATCTGTCTGTTGGCAAGACTACCCGTCGTTTCGAAGATCACACTAAGGATGTATTGTCGGTTGCTTTCAGTGCCGATAATCGACAGATTGTGTCCGGAAGTCGCGATAAGACGATTAAGTTGTGGAACACTTTAGCCCAATGCAAGTACACGATTCAAGAAGAAGGACATACAGATTGGGTCAGTTGTGTCCGATTTTCGCCGTCGAACTCGAACCCAATCATTGTGAGCGCCGGTTGGGACAGACATGTCAAGGTATGTACTGAAGAAAATCAATTACCAATTATTGAATTAAAATGATTAGATTTTATACACCAATTCTGATAACATTTGTTGACAGTTGTTCTGCATTTATGATTAATATTCTAAATTTATTAGAAGAAGAATATTGTTTTTGAGAATATGTTTTTAATTTATTGATTTATTTGGTTAATAGGTATGGAATTTGACGAATTGTCGACTAAAGACCAACCATATCGGACACGCCGGCTATCTAAACACTGTTACCGTTTCACCCGACGGTTCTCTATGCGCTTCGGGCGGAAAGGACTTTAAGGCTATGCTCTGGGATTTGAATGAAGGCAAACATCTGTATACTTTGGATCACAACGACATTATTAACGCTCTTTGCTTTTCGCCGAATCGATATTGGCTTTGTGTGGCCACCGGTCCCTCGATTAAGATCTGGGATTTGGAAGGCAAACATTTGGTGGATGAACTCAAGCCTGAGGTTATCTCTGCTTCATCCAAGACAAAGGCTCCGCAGTGCATATCACTTGCCTGGAGTGCCGATGGTATTACATTATTTGCTGGTTATACCGACAATTTGATCCGAGTCTGGCAAGTGGTGCCCACCAGTTCTAAGGCATCATAAATTGATAACTAATAATAAATTAATTTTTATGTAAAGAACTTGTCATTAATTTCTGTATTTTAATGTGAATTATCCATAATTTACTTGAAATCGGAAATTAATGACATTTATTAATGATTTGAATAAAAATAAAAAACATTTGTTTAAGAAGTTGTGTTGGAAAAAATGTTTACAAAAGTTATGACAAAATATGATATAATGTTTAAATTACTATTTTGTTATCAATTGAGTAATAACTAAATTAATGAAAACAATTAATGTTAACAATCAACACTTAAAAACTAATTAATAAACACAATAATACGCTATGCAATGGCAATACTGTAAGTAATTGTTATAAAACGTGATTTAAAAAGATAATTGTTTTTTGAAAATTATAAACTATTACTATTTGATTATCACTTAACCGGCAGACGACTGTCAATTCAAATACGAAATTATTTTGAGATATCAAAAGTGTCGTAAATATATAATAATATTTAGTGGACGTCTCAGATATTTATCCCATAATTTCTATTGTGTTATTACAATCAATCAATCAATGGGTGCCGTCTGTTGTTGTGCAGGAAGTGGTGACTCTGAAGCCGATGTCGATGGTTCAGGAAATGACGAGACACTGTCCGTTAACTTTTCGGCATTGAAATCGACAACACCGGCGCCCACTAGTGATGCCGTTTCCAGTAAGACATCCAATAAATCGAAAGTCGTCTCCAAGACTTCTTAAAGAAACAAATTAAATGCATTTTTGCTTTATTTATATAATATATATATATTATTAGTAAAATTGCATTAACTTTATACAACTGTCTCTCAATCATACAATTGAATATTTTTTTAATGATATGGAAAACTAAATTGTATTAAAAAATTATTTTTGTTAAACGAAAAATTTTGTTGTTTTTTTACTCAAATTATATAAATTAAATTTTATATAACTGATGAATATATAATTGATGAATAATTTCAACTACAGTACTATCAATACCGTTTTATTTTGTATAAAAATTTGTTTTTTAATAAATAAATTTATTTAAGTATTTTTATTGGATTTTCTTATATATAAATTCTTAAATATATAAATAAATAAAAATTCTTTAAAATTTTGTTAATTACTTTTTATTATATACTGTATTATACAATATTATTCTATTTTAAATTTAGTAATAGATATTAAAATCAATTATTAGTTTTAATCAATAATATATATACCCATAACTACTATACTGGTATATAAATTAATGTATAAATTTAGTTTAAAATCTAAAATACGTCAATTAAATCCAAATTATATTTTTAATTGTTTTATTAATTTAAGTGTAAAACTCCTCAATTCTATCATTATATTGTTATTCTTATACATAATTATCTAATAATATAATCTTATTCTATAATATAAAGACAAATATGGTTTAATTATAACCTAATAATTAGTACATTTATATTCATATAATAATTAGTACAAAATTCATATAAATTCATTGTCTAATTATTTAAATAAATTATACTTTTAACTTATCTATAAAATAATTTTGCTTTAATTTTTATACAAGATATTCATAATTAATAAGTTATATATTGTGTATGTGTTATTTATCGCATACATAATATATAGTTTCATTTCATCGATTAATAATTTATGTATATTTAAATGCAAATCTGTAATTTATATGCCAATCAATAATCAAATGCACAAAATTATATGATTTGTAAGTGAAAATCATTTACATAATAATTATTTTATGAGTTATCCTATTATTTGACATATATTTCAATATTAATACATAATATGAAAAGTTATTGTCACGTGATTGCAATGCTATTATTATTATTATTATTACTATTACTGTATTAATGTTTACGTAAACACACAGTAATAGTGACAACAAATCACTAAACCATTAGTGCCTTTGCATTACATTTACAGTCACTTGACTTAGACATCCAGACTCAGGTCGTTAATGGACACCAATACTGCAGAAGAATGGATCCCATTGTCTATAACACATGTTTTATATCCAAAAGGTTTGTCTTAAATTAAATAATGATTACAATATCGATTGTGAGACTAATGATTGCATTTTACCACAAATCAGATGACACGACGGGTCAGTTGTTGGCATTGTTATCACTGACACCTTTCGGGATTGTCGTTGCATTCATTACATTGTCATTGTTTGTCCGCGACATTCATGTGGTAAGTCGTGTGCCGACAATTGTCTACAAAAAAATGGTTTAATTGATATATTTTTTGGACAGATATTCTTCTTTTGCGGTCAACTACTCAATGAAGTGCTTTGTTTAGTACTGAAGAGACTGTTTCGTCAGTCGCGACCCATTCAAGTGGTTAACCAGAAGTATCACTCTAACAGATCCTATGGGATGCCATCACAACACTCCCAGTTCATGGCTTTCTTTACATTTTATTGTTTACTATTCTTCATCTTTAGACTCAAACGAAAGTCTAACAAATTTAAATCACTTTTAGTTTTTGCCATAACTTTGTTATTTATTTTTGTGGTCTATTCCAGGTCTGTATAATAATCTGTTTGACAATCATATAACTGATTCAAATTTTATATTTAAAATTTTAATTAATCCCTAATTTGTTTTATTATCAGAATTTATTTATTATATCACTATTGGAGTCAATGTTTTGCTGGAATAGCCATTGGTTTACTATTTGCCATAATTTGGTTTTCAATAATTAATTATGTTTTTGAGCCAAACATATTTGTCTTCATTTTAAAGATGTATAAAATATTTTATATTAAATGAATATTAGATTTATTGATACTATAAAAAATTTATTTTAACATTTGTTTTTTTATCTATTTTAGGAAAATTAGTAGATTTATTGGATTAACAAATGTTTATATTGAACCAAAAAGAAGTCATAATAAAGAAATAATAAAAAAGAAGAAATGATTAGTACTTTTGATAATTAGATTTTGTATTATTTTGATGACACAAATTTAATAGATTTAGTTAAATTAAAATATTTGATATTTAGTATGCAATTATAAGTGATATAAATAATATTTTACATATATTTTACATTTTTATATGTTTGTATATTTTTTAATAAACTATTTTTGTCATATTTATTAATATGTGCAGGTATCTAATTATATTTACCGGTAGTATATTATTTTTATAGTTCTCAGGGGTCAAATTAATTGTAAGACATATACTGGTAAATTATTGTATCTTATTGTCATAAAAACTTTATGGTCATAATATTTATTAAAAAAATACATTATCGAAATTTATTTCTAATACTTTGATAGATAATTTTTGTAAATTATAAATAAAAATTTATATAAAATAAAATCTTTTAACTATTGTAATTTATAAATCTTAATTACAGGTTATGGTGAATATTTTATTAAATTTTTTTAAACGAGTATTAAATTTAGATTAAATGATTTTTTATAAGTTTTTTTTAAAAAATATGATAAAATTAATCAAATGAATATATTTAAACAAAATTAATAAATTCTAAATCAATATTGCAATCATAAATAAATAAATTATAAAATATCAATTTAAAAATAATTTAAAACCAATGAAGATAAATAAAAAACACAAATAAAATTTTATTTAAAACTGATATATTTTTTAATAATTTTTGATATAAAAATTAATTATTACACATTTAATTACAACTAAACAACTTCATAGATTGCGCTCAACATTTAGTTTTAACATTTTAAATATAAATTTAAATTTTATCTAATAAATTATTAGTAATAAACTATTATTAATAATAATCCAAATTATTGATAGATACCGATATGTTTGCATTGATTGTGAATGCAATCATTTATAATCAATATATCAATAAGTTTCTATACTGTATATATGTGATACTTAATACAGGTATGTAATATAATATTTATTATTAATAATATGTTATTTTGTTAACATTATTTAGTACAGTAATTGGACTGTTTAAAAATTTAATTAATATAAATTTAAACTATATATTGAGAAATAGATATCTATAGTTAGATGTACAGTTATAATTATATACGGTAGATAATTGTTAAATAAAATTAAAACTTAAATAATTTAAATGATCAAATATAATAATGTAAAATTCGGTCATTAATTATAATTTTGTATAATAATAATAATATACTGTATACAGTTTTTATTTTTTTTTTTAAATTTCAAAATTTCCCTCTTATAATATTAATATTATTTGATAAAATTCTTCATATAATTACGATAAAAATGCTTAGATATATTAATGCTTAGATAATAAATTATTTATAACAAAATAATTAAAGAATTTGAAATTAACTTTACAAAAGTATTAAATTTATTTCTACTATAAGACATAATTATTGAAATGATTATAATATTTATAATTTATGCGATAATAAGTGATACTACTGTTTAATTATTAAATAGATTTTTTTAATATTATATATTAGATATTATTTTTAAAATAAATTTTTAATGAGATCTATGTTAAACAGTACATTACATAACTTTCAACCAAATCATTATTATTATTACACAATATATATATTACTAAAACTTAATTCAAATTGATTTCCATAATATTTCAAGAATAACAAATAATTCCTAACATTTTATTTTAATATTTATAAAATATGACATTTTAAATAATATTTTAAATATACCTATATTATAACAAAACTGTTACAAAACTTTTATATAACAAAATTTTAATCATCTTAAAAATAATTTAAATTTAATTTATAAGTTTTATTTTAAACTTACTACCAATTAATTTCTTGATAATTTTCTAATATTTAAAATTTGATTTAATGATTAAATGTTAATTAAATTAATTAAAAAATACTTTTACTGATTATTCGAAAATTTAATTTTTATTAGATTTTTATTCACTATAAAAAATAAAACCATGTAATGTACAGTATTTGTAAAACATATAAATATTTATAACTATAGGAAATACAATCTAATGCTATTTCATTGTACTTTAAGTTTCATCTGTAGATGTATTGAAAAACTGAATCAATTTTCCGGCAAACGGTTTGAGAGCTAAAAAATATTTGCATTTCGTTTTGTAGTTTTTAAAATGATTCAACATTTCAAGCAACTTATCTCTATCTGATTGCGATAGTATAAAGTCCATAACATCAATGGACAGTTGGCTTTCGTTATTTATAAATACATGAAATATATTTAACGCCCGAAACCTAATGTGCCGATATTTGTGCCATAAAAGCTTGTATATTATTGCCATATATGTTGTATTTAAAGCAAATAATTTGCAAATAATAACACTTTGGCTCAAAATAATTGCCAATATTTCCAATGACTGGCGTTTTGTCACATAATTGTCTGAATTAATTAGTTGTATATAGTTTTGGAAGAATTTGACACCATTTTGGGTCATATAATCGTCGGTCAATTGTTTGTGTTCAGTCAATAGTGTTCTCAATGTAATGAAGGCATCCATTGCCACATCAAAAGTCTTTTGGTTGACAAACGTGAAGAATTCGTCAAATCGTTTCCAATTGAAAACTATTTTTGCCAAACATTGGTGTTGAAGACATTGTCGAAGAATGAGTCCGCTATTGAATGTCACATCACTTCTTCCGTATTTATATATATCAATCAATGAATAGATAATCTCCGGTTCCGTACAAATATATTCTACAGTTAGATACCTGTTCTCTGTTTGCAATAGTAATGCATTACAGATAACACTTGCCGTTAGTTTTCTGTTTTCAAAACCAATTTGTGATAACTTTAGGATCAATTCCAATAATATATGAGATGCAAAAAGCTCTTCACAAAGAGTTTTTATAACTTTTGTGTTGTGGGTGTCGTCACTATTGGCTTTAGTTTGCATTGAATTATCACTATTTTCTTTATGACTGACATTATTGTTATTACTACTACTACTACTACTTGTACCACAATTATTGTCTTCATTGTGTTTGTCATTTTTGGCTATACTATCGAAATATAATTTATGTAAAATAATATTTTGTCTCAGATTTTCCAAACAAATTCTCATATTATTTTCATTAACAATAATCTCAGCGTTAGTGACATTATTTGGCACATATTTAATGGTTTGCGTCAAAGTTTTACTATAATGACCACTACTACTACTACTACTACTACTAATATCATTGACATCATTAGTTATTAGTTGTTTATTATTGATATCATTGAATTGTTCATTATTTTTGTCCAAAATTTCTGACTTATTCAGCGCTTGTCTCAGCTTTTTGACGGTTTCATCGATTGAATCGATGGTCTTATAATCGGTGCCATTGAATGGACCCAAACTTTTCTTTTGCTGTTCCGATAGAGAGGCTGAGGATCTCTGCCTGAAAAACTTCATTATTATATCCTCTGATTCACACTATTAAACCATTTGTTAACAAACAAAAATATTTGATAATATTTTTTTTTATAATAACAAAAAATTATAACATAAATATCTGTTATAATAGCAATAATGATTTTTTCTGTTGAGATGCACACATAGATTAAGGACACAAATAATAATAATAGTAATAATAATCACTAAAATGTTATATAACATTAAAAATTTTTTAGTAACAATAATAATACTAATAATAGCATAAATTTTTCTCTCATTTAAATTGTGTGCTTTTATTTGAATGCTTTTTTCACTTTTATTTGTATTGAAAAATATATCACAGAATTCACTATATTATTTGAATCGCTTTATTGTCTGAAATTCAATTAAATGTAGAATAATAATAAAATATTATAAATTTAGTGAATGTTGTTATAACCTTAATTATAACAATAAATAATTATTTTTACTAAAAAATATTAAATATATTATGATTTCATAAATTCGTAGATTAAATCACTTATGAAAACACAAATCAATTATATAATTACTGTATTAGTAGTTGTTATTTTAATGTATTTTTAATATATATATATTGTATTGTTATTAGCATATAATAAAAAAATACAATAAAAGGATGAATATTATTATTATTACTGTATTAATATTTAAAATAATGTTGAAACAGTCAAACCACTGATAAAAGCATTGCGTTTTTCTTTATATATTATTATTATTATTATTTTCCTCAATAGTTGTGTGAAAAATAACAGAGTATTTGATAGAAGAGGTAAAAATTAATTAAATGGTTAACTATTTGTTTTCAGTACAAACTTTGCACTATTTGATGTTTGTGTGTATATTATGTTTGATAGTCAACCTTCAAATTAATCACAAATACAGTACCCACTGGTTGTGTGATTCAGTGGAACGGTATTAAAATTAGCGACAAAAACAACACCAACCAGTTCTTGGTCTTTATTGGACAGTTAGCTCTGGTTTTTTGAAGCAAATTATTTCAAAAATTAAGTGCATATTTTGAGTACTACTGTATGTAGTTTAAGCGTATAATTTAGACCTCAATTGTTGTTTGGTTTGCTATTACAATGTATGATATATTTGCACTCAAATTCCAGTAGTTAACCAAATAATTAGTTTGCAAACCATAGGAGACTACTAAACCAAATATTCACTATTTCCTATTAACAACTACTACTGGCACTGAATTTATAATATAAGTTGTGCGACAAGTTTTGCACATCAATATCATGACTTAAATTATTATACGGTATATATATATCATATAATATAAATATATTTATATATATTTTATTTGTATATATTGTGTTTGAAGTGTTGAATATTAATCACACGACAATACCGTGTTTATATTAATATTATAAACATATTTTTAATAATCAAATCGATAACATTTATACTTAAAAATTTTAATATTTACAGTATTTTCACAAACAAAAAATCACAAATAATTATCTAAATACATAATTTTTTTTTAGAAGTTTATGAATGTTTATGAAAATAAATTTTACGATAAAAATAGTTATTATTGAAGAAAAATATAGTATTTCGTATTTATATAAAATATATATTACATTTATGAATATACTTTCATATATATATGACACTATTATGACATAACTATTATATTATCGAAATATTTATGCACAAAATATTACAAAGTTAACAAAAATAATTTTACATTCAAAATATAAAATGCATTTAATGTTATAATGTGATGAACTCATTTCATTGCACACACAAATAAACAAAAATAATTTATTTGAATAAAACAATTTATATCACATATAATTAATACATAGAAATAGAGACTTAGTTACAACAGCTTTCTAATCAATTTTACAGAAAACTGTTTTCAATGATAAAAACTTATCGTCACTTTTTTTGTCAAATCAATGTTTGAACTAAATTGAATTATTTATTAAACTTAATGGTTAGAAATATGATTAAATAATTTATGTGTTGTCGTAAAAAAACCAATTTTTATGTATTATATCAAAATTATATCTAATTGACGCCAATTGAGTGCTTCAAATAGGAGTGAACACATTACAAGCAAAACCAATAACTATTATATATACTGTATATTTAATATAACTGTTATATGAATGTAGTGTTCACTTGGGGTTTGTTAATCATATGATATAACACAAGTAATACATATATATATAAAATATATCTATAAAAGTATATTATAAATAATATATATAAATATAAATAATATTTACAAAATCCAGATTTTTATGACTGACTTAAGTATCTATCATTTCACGAGACAATTCACTGCAGATAAAAATTGTCACTCAATTTAACAATATTTTCAAATGTATTTTTTTGAGGGTAAAAAATACATTTCAAATGTATTAAACTGTATATACTATTATAACTATATATATATATATATATAAATATTGTAAATATAAAAGTATTTTTTCTTTATAAATATTGAAGTTTTTCTTATGACAGTTAAAATTAATTCTGTGAATAGAAAAAATTTAGTTGAAACACAATATTTCAAATAAACCCTAAAAAACTTATTGATATATATTTTTATTATGAAAGCACACAAACAATTTTCACTATAATATTATTATTGCGGTTTCCGATGACATCTAAAAAAATATAGAGTAGAATATAGTTTGAGATTTCGTGTAAATCATTACCGAAAGTATCGACAGATTTGAAGGAAAAGTGGGTGAAAAAGAAAGAGAGAGAGAGAAGAGAGAGGACAGGCATATGAATGTGTGTGAGTGTGTGGATGGATGTGCTCACAGAGTATGTGTGTGTGTCTGCTATTGATACCAGACTTGAGCACAAAAATTAATAGTAAAATTCTTGTGTGTGAGTCAAACATACTGTACATATAGAGCACGCAAACGGTAAATATTATACAAGTCATTGAATATATATATAAATATTATTATTATTATTATAAAAGACATACAATTGAATGAATAGCAGAGAATTGAGAGAACAGATAAATTTCATCTGACTTTTCTCCAAATGATTCTCACTTTTTCTTGAGATCCCTTTTATTACTAAACAATTGCAACTTTTTTTACACATCCCTGTGTGCTATCAATTTCTAAGAAAAACATTGCATCTATTTATTACATTACAGTATTTAGTTTAATATGTATTATCTTTTTGTATTTAATTTTTTTGTTTGTTTGTTGTTGACTTGAAAAACACGACGACTCCTGGCTTTTATCTATATATATATATATATATATATATTAAATGTTTACCGTATGTCCAGTTAATTGCCTGATTGCAAGTCCTATGCTATAAACACGACATGTCTTTTAAACAAATGAGTATTTACTTGATTTTTTAGTCGGCAATTAATGATCTATATTTCAATTATAATTTAATTTTTTTTGCTGCCTATTGTCTATAAAATAAATTAATATAATAAATATTTTAATTTAAATAAATATAACTATTCAAAAAAAACATGTGAGAGTAAATAAATTAAAAAAATTAAATAAATAGCTAATATATTTATTACATTTACAATGATTTGTTTGTTTTATTTGATATAATTTATATTTATGCTTAAAAAAAGTACAAATACTGGTAGCACTGGTAATATTATCTAACTTTCCACTGACATAACTATCCTTCATAATGTTGACATATCTTTCAGTAATATTAATGTTTATTACATCACTTGATTCATGTTATCGCAGTTTTTTTATTAAACAAATTACTATTTGATTAACAAATAATAATTATTTGCAAAAATATGAAATGTTTGGTCTATTTTTGGTCAATCCTTTTATGGGAAAAATCAAATTTTGTCTCATTTTAATTTGTTATGATATGCATGTCATGTAGAGATCAATTTTATCAAAAATAATATTAAAATACAATTAATGTAAATTATATGTAAAAAATGTATTAATTAAAAAAACATAAAAACTCGGAAAATATCCACAAAAAAACTAATAATTAAATGATTAAATCAAATAAGTAGTAAATAATACTAATTATTATTAGTATAGAAAAACATTTGACTAATAATATTAAAATAATAATACTAATAATAATTAAGTGCAAAAAAATATTAGAATAGAATAGATATTTTCAAATAAAATCAATACTATTTAATACGGATTTTTATAAACTAAAAAATACTAATTAGATTAAAGTTTATAAAAAAATATATGTCATATAGAAAAACACAAAATCAATCTTAACCTTATACTTCTATATAATATAATATATATATATTAAGGAATATTTAATTTTTAAAATAAACATAAATTAATAATTTGTATAAATTTTTTTCCATATTTTACATTTAAAAAAACTATTCAATACTATTAAATATTAAAAAAAATTGTTTTCAAATTATTAGTATTTTTTTTATTATTGTTGGTTTTGTATTTTGTTAATAAAAAATATACCTTAATAAAGCATTACATTTACTTATATATACGTATATATAAATTATTAGTATTTTTTTTACTATAATATTGACAATAAAATCGTTATTAATATATTATTAACTATAAGATTACACTGTATTTATAATATATTATATATATATATTATATATTCATAAAGTTATATATTAAAATTTTTTTTATACCATTTTGTTTGTTGAAAACATTATTCAATAGATTGATGACAACTTTAGGTGCGGCCATCAATTGATACTCACATAGCGGTTGCCTATCAAATGGACAGGTATTTTGTTGGATTTATTGGCCACCACCGAATCATCATTAACTACCGGTGCTCTACTATTTAGCCATTGTCTAATACAACTGAAACAAAACAATTGTTTGCAACATAGCGTAACTACTGGTTTATTTATTGATAAAATTATTTCCAGACATATCGGACAGGTTAGGTCAGCTACCAGTGCCCGATGATAGGCGATCAATGGTTCGCTACCAGTCAGCAGGACAGGTAGCAACAGTTTGATTGGCGACGCCGACAATCTATTATCCATTGATTTTTTTTTTAATTAAAACCCGTACAGAAAAATTAAGTTTTTTAAAAAAATAATAAAATTTACTTATTATTTAGAATTTTTTTTAGAAATTAAAATAATAAATTTAAAATATCTAAAAATCGTTAGTTTTTATAGTAAAATAAATATTTATTTATTTAATCAAAAAATAACTGTAGATTATCAGCTATTGATTATTATATTATTATTATTATAAAGATTTAAATATTTTAGAAATAATAAATTTGATTAAAAATATTATTATAAACTTATTTTTAATTTTATTAACTTATATATGTAAATAAATTAAATCGTTTGTTTAAATATATTGATTTATTTTTGGAAAAATTTTGAAAAAATATTTTATTATTTTAGTAATTATTAATAAAGTTAATTTATATTTATTAAATGATTTTATTTATTTATCTATAAGTATAATATAAATATTAATTTGTTTGTTTGTAAAGTTAATGTTTAAATTTTTAATCAATCAAAGTAATCTCAATAATTAATAATAATACTTAATATTAGTTTAATTAATATTATTTATATTTATACAGGTGCACTATTTATTGTTTGAATCATGATTATTATTATTATTATAGTGTAGACATTGACCGGTTTGGATAAGCGCTTGTCTACCGATCCCGCACAGGGGTTGTGTAACATTTTGATAATGTTTAATAATTAATAAATTATTTATATAAGGCGTGGTTCACATATTACGTTCGCACTTGAGGGGAGGGGGGTTAGCCAAAGCGAACTTTTGCGAACGAAGGGGAGGGGAGGGGTAGAACGTTCGCATTTAGATATTTTATTTCTTGTGGATGATGGGGGGGGGGGTAGCGGTTAGGGAATGCGAACGTAATTTTTTTTAATGATTGCATGCGAACAATTGCGAACATAGGGGAGGGAGGGGGTCTAGATTTCTTAAAAAGTGCGAACGTAATATGTGAACAACGCCTAACTATAATTAATACTAGTTATTAAAATTAATAATAATAATAATTGAGTGTTTTTATAATATATTATAATACATGATGTCGTATTTTCTATAGAAATTACTAAAAAACATCATTCAACTATTGAAACAATTTAATTCATATTAATTATTATATGTTTGAATTTTCAAATATTTATTGTTACATATGCTAGAGTAGTTATTCTACTTTATATATAAATTAAAATTACTAAATATTTTAAATATTTTCTATTCAAAAATCGGGTTAAAAAACTTTTAACCAAATTTTTTAAAAAGAATCTTTATATATAAATTCATTGTAATTAAAATAACTTATTTTTTATATAAATTATTATTTCATTTCTCAATAAATTTACATAGTTTATATAAAAAAAATTAAACCAATAAATAATTAATAACTTAACTATTCATAATTTTAGTTACAAAAAGTAAATTAAAATATGACATTAAGTGTTGAACGACATATACAGTATTTAAATGAATTATATCAAACAATATTATAAATATTAGAGTAGTATTAAGTACTAAATTATATTTTGATCTTTTTTTCGCATTTTATATCAAATTATTTTTTTAATACCTAAATAATATATAATACAGTATTGTTGATTAAATGTTGATAAAATAACACAAAATTATTAAATAACAAACCTTTAGTAATATAATTTATAATATTATGACAATTTATTTATTTAATATTATACAATTATGTTTTAATCAAACATTAAATGTAATTATGTTTATTAAAATTGATGTTTATAGACTATATGATATATATATATATATATATAATTTATATGATATTTATTATAAAATAAAGTATACATTATATTATAAAGTAGAATTAGTAGAATTACTGTATAATATTATATTACTATAGTATAAATTACAGTATTATAAAAGTGTGATTTACTGTAAATAGTTTGTCTATATATATAATATTTATGATAATATTATAATTAAAGTTTATATAAGGTTTTGATTAATTATATTAATTAATAAAATATGTACGCAACTCTTTAATTACTGAAATAAACAGAAATAAAATAAATTATTAAAATTACACAAAAATAATGTTATTTGTATTAAATTTTAACAAAAATAAGTATATCATGTAATTTTGTTAATATAAAGATTTTAATGACTTTATAATATAAAATGAAAAGATATTTAATTTCAAATTAATAATAAACATTAAATATACATAATTTTAGTGGTAATATATGTCATTAAAAATAACAATTTTATTATTATTAACATTATTTTTACATAATATAAATTTTGCTATTATGGATAAAAATTTGACTTATTATAGTTAACAGCTTAATCAATAAATGTAAAGTCAATCAATTTAATAATAAAGGTTTATATGTAGAGCAATATATAAATAGTATTAAAATATTATTATATTGTTATTGCATTTGTTAAATAACAATATAAGTTTAATGTACTGTGTTTTATCATTTGTCTTAATGATAAATAAATAAATGATAAAAATCATTACCGGTACATTTAATGTATTAATTATAATAAAACTTGTAACTAAATAAGATAAAAAAAAGTATTTTATTTTATTATTATTACTTGAAATATTATAATAGCATATAAATTATATTAAAAATATTAAAAACCTATGTTTATGGTTTCAAATAATAACAAATTATTATTAAATAAAATATTAAAAGTAATTACAAGGCTAACAAAATAAAATATTAATATAAATTTTAAAAATAGAAAACGGTATAATTTTTATATTAATAATAATATTCATAACATTATAAGCTACTAATGTATGCACACATAAGTCAATTATTTTATAATTATTATTATACAAAAATTTTATAACACACACACAATTTTCACTGTATAGCACACACTCAAACACAAATTAATTTATTTAACCTTAAATAAATTTACAAGCAATAAAAGTTAGAGTTACTATAAATTATAAATATAATTTAATTATTTATTTTTAAAAAAATATAAATAAAAATTTAAATATATTAATTAAAACTATTTAACTATTTAAATAATCAAACATAAAATACAATACAAACATACAAGTTTAACTAATAAATAATAATGTAAATCCAAAGTGTGTTAACTGTATGTTTAGCTAATTTATAGGTAATACAATGTAAAATAGTTAGTAAAAAGGTGTACTTTACAGGTAATATTATTCACGATTTTTTCAAACATTTCATTCAATAGGTAGCAGTCGGTGCAGTTGTTTCTCTTATATCATATGAATTGTATGATTATTATGTGTGTCTGTATTATATGTATATATGAATGACAGCCCCAACAGTGTTGCTAACAGTGATCGCTAAAAAAGCAAAACGCATTTCTCTACAAAAATCTATCCAACAATTTGTTTCAAATTTCCCGATCACTAGTAGTGATCACTACTACCTATTATTATAATAGTTGTTGTGTTTGACAGTATAATTAGTTTTTTATTTTATTTAAAAAACTATGTTTTACTTATTATTCTCGCTGTTATTTTTCATATTTGGTGAGTTTATTGAATAATTTTATATTTTATTTGTTAGTTTTTTGTAGTTTTTCTTAAAAGTTTTCTTTTTTTAAATATTTAATATTCTGTATATATTTGTTGAAACTATTTTCTAAATTAATTTTTATGTTTTAAATATAAAATTTGTTTGAATATTTATGTTTTTAAATATATAATTTCAACATCAAACTTATTATTTTTTTATTGTTATTTTTATCAAATTTGAAAGCTATGAAAATGAAAGCTAAATGAATCTTAAAATAGCATTTATATACACAGCCATAGTATAGTTAGTGAAATATTGTATATAATATTAGTGTAATTTATTTTTTATGTCATATTTAATATATCGTAGCTAAAAAAATATAAAAAAGTATTATTAGCTATAAAAAACAATTTAGCAAACATTATCGTTGTCACAACATATAAAAAATCAATTACTTTTAAATCAATTGCTGTATCAACAATATATATATAAATATATATATAAGTTTTATAACGAAAGTTTATTTAAACAATAATACTAATACCTTGAATTAGTAAATTTAACTGAATCACCTTGATAGTTAGATTCAATTATTTGGATGAAAGTAAATACTTCATTATAATTAAAGTACATCTAAAAAATGAAAACCAATTATATTTGAATAAATTAAAAAAAACAAGAAATTGTTAATATGATATTTCACGTAATTTGACATTTTTATTGTATAAAAAAACTTTATGATATAAATCTCTTTAAATGTCAAAATTTATAAACAGTATTTACAAAATTGTTTCAACAAATACTTTCATAAGAGTTGTATTTTATTCTTTAAAAATAATTATCTAATAATTAAACAAATTTAAATTACATCTAATTAAAAACAATTACAATTTAAATTATAATTTTTTCGTTAACCTATTTGACTTCAAAAAAAAACATTGTATTACATTATCTTATGTTTCATGAATAGACTATGAAAAAAACATTAATATTAATGATGATTTCATCTAAAGTTAACACAACTTTAAACAAATAAGGCAAATGTGGATAATTATATGACACTCCTCTCTCTCTCTCTCTTAAATTCAATGACTAATTTCTAAAGACTAATCAATGAAAACGCAAATGAATTAACATTTTAATCATTTTCATTTCTAATTCAATATATACTGTATAAATAATAATAGTCTAATATAAGACATTTTCAATTTCAAAAGAGTTTAGATTTAATTGCATTTAATATGTTTTTTTTTGTTAAATTTTAAATAATAATATTAATTATTATTATTATATGATTGCAGTATTGACTCCAACGGGTGCACAATATTCAAGTCAAAGCTATTGTGATCACAATAGGCTTCAGCGCTGCCAACGGGACATCACTCAGAATGTTCAGGACATTTCCAATGCACAGTCGGGTAGCGGCTATAGTGGTCAGTCTAGTGGCTACCAGAGCTCAAATAATGACATACATTTAAAATGCAGGTGAGTGATGACATACCTGATCCCCTGTACACCCATTTACTTTGTGCCAATTGACAATCACTTTCAATATGTAGTTATCTATAATATAAGGGGCACTCATCTATACAACATTATAGTGTCATTAAATAGAGAGAATATTTTACATAATGAAACACTTGTTGTATTACTTAATACTACTAATAATAAATATAGCAAAATAACATGATTTACAAACACATAATTAAAATTATAGTCAATAAAATACTACAGGTATACTAAATGCTGTGCAAAATAAATTTTTCTATAAAATAGTGAACTTTGTTTAGCATTTATTGAAATAAATTATTTAGTTTTATATGGACTTTGATATAAAAACTTCATGACTGTAGAGATGTTTGTAAAGCTATGTTTCGCTATGTTTAACATACATTTTAAAATAACATATTTGTTGGTTAACTTTCTCTTTATATTATCACCTGTATTGCCACTATTATTATTATTATTATTATTATTATTACATAATGAATGCTGTATTCAATTATAAATACAGTGAAACAGAAAAATTATTTCAAATATTTTTTGACGAATCATTGCCAATACGGAAGTTGAATATATTATATAGTATTGTATCGGATGTTAGAATCCATTGTATTCTTAGTTTTTAACAAAATTTTTAAATTTTTATTTATTATAAAAATATGCTCTTTTTGAATACATTCATATAAGTATAATTAATAATAAAAATATGTTGTAGTTGTTATTGATGATGCTATTATAAATTGACATTTTATGAAAATATAGTATATATTGCTAACTGCTACAATATAAAGTAGCATATAATACTGTATATACTGTATATCACAACTGAAACATATTATATTATATAATTTATATAATATAATATATTTGATAAAGATATCTATAACATAAAATTTTATTTTTAAAAAATTACATATATATTATATACTGTATATATATATAGCCAATATTTTTTGCAATTATTATTTGCATATATTATTTGCATATATTTGTAATAAATTTGCTAAGAATAAAACTGATCTGTTATTTATAATTTACAAATTAATTATAGTTTATATGAAGTGAAAACTAAGATAAATAACAAAAATAAATTACATATTATAACATAAAATGCTAAAATTAACATCAATTAAAAGTTTATATTTTAGTATTTAATTCTATTGGTAATCTTTTTTTTTTTGCTTTTAAAGTATTTAATGTTTAATTTGTTAAAATATAGTACATCTCATTAATTAAAAACACTAAATTAAAATACAAAAATATAAAATATAAATATTTACTTACAAATCAATTATAACTGTATTATAAAAATATAGTGAAATCCGTCGAAATTTGGATTGTCTATTGAGAGATACCGCGCCCTGTATTACGAACACAACTCATCAAAGTTATGGCACTTCCGGTAGTAGTTATGTTAACAATATGAACACTGACCGTAACAGTGCCGGTGACTTTATAAGACGGGCTAAACAAACGTTAGAAAGATATTGTGAACAGGGAGGTGGAGGTATAGATTGTCAACTATAAAAAATACATAAATTAATATTATGTATTTTTTTGAATATTATATTATTTGATAAATTTTATGTATGAATAGGATGGAGAACTGCCGCTTGTTTTATGAGACAAGAGGTCAGAGACTGTGAAAATCGTTACGGTTTCCAATCAAATCCGCCCCCAGTGTCCACTTCTTCGTGTCGTAATTTCGAAGATCTTCGAGATTGTGTCCGACGATACGTTAGTCAGTCGTGTTCACAGGATCTGCAATTAATGGCCACTTACCTGATCGATAAGGGACAGGATCTTAGTTGGTCGTGCGTTGCCGGACAACAAGACTATGACAGCAATCGTAGATATGACACAAACAACGATCACAACCGCTATGATCAGGGACGCAATGGATATGACAACAATCGGGACAGATATGGAGGAAGCAGTAGTTATGGTAATCAATATGATAGAGATAGATACGGAGGAAGCAGTAGTTATGGCAATCAGTACGATAGAGACAGATATGGTGGAAGTGCTGGAAGCAATCAATATGATAGAGATAGGATTGATAGAGAAAGGTATGACAGGGATCGGTTAGGCGGCGGCTCATCCGGAAGTATTGGTAATTATTAAACTATTTTTTTTTATTTTAATAGTTTTTTTTAACTTTTATTTACTAATATTTTTATAAATGATGATAATTTTTTTTATTATAACGCTTAATTAACATTGCTAACTTTATCTGAATGCTCGCTATGTACATTAATAGGACCATATGATAATTTTAATTATGGTAATTTAATAAACTTAATTTAATATATTTTTTTTTTAATTATATTTAATATATTCTGTATTATAATTTAGTATTTTATTTAAAAATTTCAATCAATAACAATAATTTAATAAATAATGAATTAATTATCTATAGATCGGTTCGGTGGCGGTTATTATCCAACAACTGATTCATGTTTAGAGAGATCCCAATATTTTGTGAGGAGTTGTGAGGACACACTCGTCCAGAGACAGAGAGACGCCAGAGAAGGCAGAAGTAGTACTGATGTCGGCAGAAGAATCTGTTGGTTAGTATTTAATGAAAATTTTTTTTGAAAAATATTAATGACTACCAAAAAAATTAATTGGTTATAATTAACTAATTAAAAATAATTAACTAATTATTTGATTCCCCCCAACCTTTTAGTGCCCTATTTTTCTATCGCGATTGCATTAGTCGTGTAGTTGTTGACCGATGTCGGGATCCGTCGCCCACTGTTGTAGACGTTCTGATGGGTTCACGAAAATCAGATCTCACTGTCCGTTGTCGTGAATATTCACGGGACCAGTGCTCGCACTCACAGACAATCAAATCATCTTTCATTGCAATTATTATTACAACAATTTTTATTGCATTCAAAGCTATCAAATCAAATCAATTTTAGATGTAATTTATTATTCAATTTTAATCCATAAAATCTCAGCACAAATATGCCACAAATTTTTGCCATTGAAAAAAATCGATTCATTTATATATATAAATATAGATTTGATTCAATTAAATGTTTGGATCAAATATTTCAAAAGATCTGCCTTTTATTAGTGTCTTATGAATGAGTATTTTAAACAACAATATATATCTCAATTTCAACACAATTTTTAGCTAAATTTTTAAAAATTACAAATTGCCAATCACTTCATAAATATAATATAGGATTATATTTAAAGATAATTTTTAAGATGCAATATATCTACAATGCAATATATCGTATATCATATGTTATTAGTTAAATGTTAGCCATAAATGCAGTTTATTTTGCAAATATTTTTAACACAATATTTCATTATTCAATAGTTTTGTTATACTTATATAATAAATTTAATTAAACAGTAAATTTATTGTTTAATAATAATATTAAATATTTTTTTCATTGCATTAGATATGTAAATCTAATGCCTATAATATTTGCATTAGTAATTTATTATTGTTTTTATAAATTATACAATTAAGAAAACATTTATATCTTATATTGTTTTATATATATATACTGTATTATTCATTTAATTAAAAAACAAACATTTAAAAATTGTATGAATGAAGTATAAATAAACAAAATGTTTTTATAAAAATAAATTTTGTGGTAATATTAATATATTAATTACAAAAATATGTTTTTTTTAAATATAATAATTAATTAATATAATGAATTTTATTGGTTATAATAAGTGGTAATACGTTGAGTTGAAAAAAGTTATCCAAAACTCTTATGTAATAAAAAATATTTACTAAAATTATAAACATTTATTATATTTGATATTATTGATAAAATTTGAAATTGATTTCTATTAAAACAGTTTTGTAAACAAATATTGAGGTCATTGTAAAAACAAATTTACAATACTTTTTACAATAAAATCCAAATAAAATCTTTGAATTACATTTAAAATAAGTTTTAAGGCGTTTCTTAGTTTCAATGCCATAAAATCATAGTACTGTAGTCTTTAACTAAACACTCGGACTTTTTTGTGTTAGCATTCCTATGGCTTTGAAGGACAGGTAGATTCTGTATGTTTTTGTGATGAAAAGGTAAATCCAATGCCAATTGTTATTTTAGAAAAGTTATCAATTATTATAACTCATTATTCATATGAAGGAAACAAAAACAAGTTTTTTGTTTAGTGAAAGTCGTGTTTATACTGTATTTATTTATATTTATATATATATCCAACTTTTTAGCACTTGATTTGATTTGCATAGAAAATGATTCACACATTTAATAAAGTAAGCATTAAATAATTGAAAGTAATTTTTAAATATACGATATATATATTTATATTACTATGCAATTGCTATTTGAAATGTTAGAGTTATTGTAAGTTATGGTACGATAGAGTAGATTTGATATTTGTTGTCCACACAGATGTTTGTTATCACAACAAGTAATTTAAAACTAACTATAATAGTGAATAAATAAATGATTAAATGATTAATATACAGTAAATGTATTATAATAGTTTTATACTGTATATTTAAATCATAATATCTTTGTTATTACAGTTTATTGACCATAAATTATATATATATATTAAATATATAGTATTAATTTAAGAATAATTTATATGAATTGTAGAATTCATTTAACATTAAAAATGTGAAATATTTAAGTTATCAAATTCAACTGTTTTAAATAAAATGAAATAATATAAAACAATAATTAAAATATATATTATTATATTTTACAATTTAAATATTAAAATTGTTTACATTTCTGAAATGTTTCTTAAAATGAATTTTAATTATGTCTTAGTTTTTGTAATGTTTACACTATAATGCATACAGTATAACAATTTCACAAACTATATAAATCAGTATAAATATTATTTATTTATTTTTTAATTAAATGAACTAAATATTTTTAAAAATTTTAATAATATTTAAATTAAAATATTTTGTTTTAATAAAAAACAAATGTATAAAACAATTGCTAGAATTCTGTCATATAATACCCGTTCACTCAACAGAATTCCCATTCTTTGTGTTTGATTTGCTGTAGTTTTTCACTAAACTCGACAATCATTTGTGACAACTGTTTAATATGTAATAAAATGTTGTATTGTATATAAAAAAACTATAATATATATATTTCATTGTTTATAGACAATAATAAATTAATTATCTTAAGTTAATTTTTTAGAAATTAGCTAAAAATATTAATATTTTTTTAGAAAATATTAGAGAATTATTATTGATTTTGTTTTTTAATAAAATCAACAAAAAAAATCATGACTACTACTCTTTTTTAAACATTTAAAAAAAATCTATTTAAAGATATTGATTACTTCAATTTCTCTATTCAATTATATTTACAATATAAGTCTATATAGTATTTTTAGATAAATAGGCTGTTCAAATAAAATTGTCAATTATTTATTTATTTTTATTGTCAACTTTGTGTTTAAATAAAATTAAATGATACACAACTCCCAGTCGTTCAAATGATAAATATGTTATTATAGTATATAAGTTATATAATACAAATAGATTACAATTGATGACACCTGTAGTTTTTGACAATAAAGTCAATGTCTTCTAGTATTATAGTTTTATAATTTGTATAACAATTGGTAATAACTTGTTTCAATGAATGTATATTAATAATTGTGTACAGAAATTGTCAATAAGTTATTGACTTTTGATTACTATTTTACCTAAAAAAATAAATAAATATCATAAATAATAAAAATAAATTTTGTAAAATTTCTAAGCTATTTTAATATTCTGATAGCATAAATATTATTAATTTCAAATTATTTATTTACTTATTATTATAAATAATTTATATAAAAAACTTCAGACAATTTTCTATTGTTATGTAAAGCAATTGAATTTTATAAATTATTATTGATATTAAAAATAAGCATAAAATATGAATTTCAAATAAATATGATCACAAATTTTTACTGCAGTAGTTTCTACAATAATTATTATTGTATAGTTAAATCAAAAATAATTCAATAAAAAAAATAATATTAATATTTATATATATCTATTTACTTTTAAATAAAAATCTCAATCAAATATTAGAATATTGCTTATATCAAAAATAAATAAATAAATAACAAATCAAATTATAAAACCAATTAAATTCCAAGTCTGAGATAACCATTAAAGTAAACAACAATCAAATATATACAATATGTTTAGCATAAAACCCATTTTCAAATTCAACGAAATAAAATTTATTTGAAAACATATTATTGTAATGTAAATAATTTTTTTTAAATATTTATTATTTATGAAATCTATTTTATAAATATTATTTTAAAACACAATCATGTTTATAAAATTCATATTACATTAGATGATATACAGTAGGTTTATTAAAATTATGATTACCGTAAATATATATTTAAAAATTAATTAATATAAATATGTAAAATTGAAAAAATGTAAATATAAATTTTTAAAAATACTCAAAATGTGTAAATTCTTAAATACAATTTAAATACTATACAATCTAATCTGATAAATAAAAATCTCAATAACTATATATAAAATGTCTATAATTGATGAAACCTATGGGTACAGAAAAATTACGGTAATTGATGTGAAAAACTGTTTAAATCAATACTTAAAGTTAAAGTCATAGTTTGGCGGAGAGGGAGGAATATCTGGAGCTCTTTCGGGAATCATTATACCTTCCGTATCGAGTAATCTGATCTTAATATCCATCGATAGTAGTGTTTCACAATCATTCACTGTCTCTTTGCTGGTCATCTCCTGACCCAACAATGCATTTATGCCGTCAATCCAATAGTCAAATATGTGCTCATTTTGTGCCACAAAGTTAAGCGGTGTCTCCTGTTCCGCGTCGGGTATCACTGAAAAAGCCAACGAAAACGTCGACTTTTTACTCTTGGCCGACATATCTTTCATATGAGGACAGTCTTTGCCGACAACCAATTGTTTGATATCAATGATAGCAAACTTATGGGTTAACTCATCTACAGATAACACTTTATTTTCATCGCAATCACCAAAACATAAAAATTTTTGGTTAGACGATAGTCGACAGTACCAGAACTTGTCTTTAATACGTTGACCTAAAAATATATATTAATTAAGAGATTCTTGTCTTAAAAATAATGACAACCAAACCAACCTTTGTTCGAGTATTTATCAAACCGCGTGCCTTCCATAAGAAATTGAAGTCTTTGTTCTTTAATCAGTTCAATAATCTTTGGTTTAACCATATCTCTGAGCTCAAGTATAGCAAATGCCTTATTCTCCCATTCCTCTCGACTACTTCTCTCTTTTTGCCACAAAGAAGTGATTACTGAATAAGAAAGTGACGCCAATTTAAGTTTAAGCTTATCGAATGTTACGGTTGCTTCGGGATCGGCCATTGCACGAGTCAACTGTTGGCGCAAAACAGAGAACACTTTGACAAAGTCTTCAACAGTGGCTCTCATCTCTTTCCATGTCTTATTCAAAAGCGATACTACAATACAATAGAATTCTTCTAATGGATGGTCGTGTGTGAAGAACATGGGATAGAATGTCTTTCCCTCATCACTCGGCGCTTCATTCAGTTTAAGTATTTCGCAGAGAAGTCGTGTCAAATGTATTGTACTTTTGACGAGTGGGCACTCATGTTCTCTATCACTTCGGGAACAGTTTTCCAAAACAAATTTGACATAAGTTTCTGTATGATTGCGCGCTAAATAAATCAAAAGATCGAGTGCTAAGAGACCGGGATTTTCCGTAAAGTCTTGGATCGGATCTTTAGTACTCGTAAATCCTAATCGTTTATAATCTTCTTGAAAACCATCGCCTTTTGTCGATGAAATCAATGAAGAAGAGACCAAACTTTTAGAACTGGAATTCTTTTCAACGCCAATATCCGAATCAAAAGCAGTTTTGCGTAATTCAAGAATACGATCTCTGGTTTCGACTTCATTGTTGGCGTTAACCACTGTATTCATCCGTTCTTCGTGTAAATTAAACAATAATGTCTGCAAAACATATAACTGATGCGCCATTTCTGAGCCAACATTATAGATATGACCGCTCGAGTCACTGCCGACAGTGATCCGCGGATTTAAAACAGTGGTCAGTATAACATTTCGGATGTGTTTTGAACTAAGAGTGGCGGCAATGGCTTTACGTTTCGATGTATCCGACTTTGAAAATAAAGCGTTGATTAAAGCAATTGAGTTTTGCTGTATCTCTTGGTTGTGTTGGTTTTGGGACACAAGATATATCAGGTTTGGTAGTGTGACTTCTGCCTCGACTAATACATTAAACTTAGTGCTGGAAACCACTATTGACTCCAAAATAGCCAACGAATGGATCAACTCTTTCTTATCACTGGACGATACGTTTGATGTGTTCACCTGTTGTGCAATTTTACCGATAAATTTTGACTCCAAATTATCCCTAATTATTGAAAACATTTTTGTTGTTTTAAAAACATGTATAATATATTAGCATTCAATTCATACCAGGATATGATTGAGTGGTTCATAAGCTCGACATAGCTCTCGAGTGCAAACCCGAGGCCATCGTTACTGGAAATGGCATCCTTTTCGACGGACTCGACAATGAACTGTAGGCCCTGTTTGTTGATAAACTCATTGGCAAACGTATAATCAGTCGACAGTTTGACCAAACGCTTATATGTGGCCAATCGGGACTCGGATGACTCAAATTGTAGTTTATCGAGTATATCCTGAGCCGTACGCGATGGCGAATACGTTAGTCGCAAAACATCACCGTTTTTGATCTCATTTCTGTTTTTTTCGGTTATATAAACATTAGACGAGTCGTTAAACTGTAGCGAATACTGATCCGAATCGGTAAGTGACCAAACGGTACACAAATCGGCAATTATCAGAAACAATGTCCGATTTTGATCAAACTCGAGTAATTGTGGCATCTTTTGACAGATCAACAAATGGATCAACAAATGGATAAACAAATTGTGTGACAAATTATATCAACAAAACATTTCAAATATATTTACATAATTTCCACCAAAACTTGTGTCCATTTCGACGGCAATCTTAACAATGTTTCCATCTTTGGCCGGCATTGTTGTTGATGTTGTTGTCGTCTAAAATCAATACTTCTTAAATAAACAATATCTTCGGTGGTATTAATATCAGTCCAATTATCTGCAAAATTCAAAATATATTATCAATTATTGTCTGAAAAACATTAGGTGATCGACAATCAAAATATATAACATTTGGCCGACACTTACCTTTTGATATAATTCGCAAATATCTTCGAGACTGATAGTCAACTCATGAGGTAACGGATGAGTTGGTGTTTAAGACATTTAAAACCCAACACTGATGTGACGTTTGACACGCCTTTCAATACAAGTGTTTACCAAAACATTTGACATTTCAATACATTTCAATAACACTGTAATCGATAACTCAATAATTACGCAAACATTCAATAATATGATATAAAATTGAAATCCAATTACAGATAAATAATAACAAATTTATTTAAATATATTTTCCAATAATAAATGTTTTTTTAAAACTCAAATTTAACTATTATTTAATAATTTTATTTTAATTTAAAATATAACAAAATAAACTACACACAATAAACAAATATATAATAAACAAATATAACATAATAAAAAAGTTTTAAAAATACATAACACAATCGGTATATTTGTATAAATTGTAAAATAAATTTATTGATTAAATTATTATCCTTTAATAGTAATATTATTTAGATATCGTCCACTTGGGCTTAAAATAGCATTTAAATCAGTGTTTAAATCAATATCTTTAAAATAATATCTAAAATAAATGCCAGAATTTTGGTCAGCCTTTTGAATCAATAAATTAATCAATGATTCAGTTATAACAATACGATTATGAACTTCAAGTGTACGCAAATGTTTACATTTAACAATCAGATCCATTAGTGACGATTCAGTCATCGACATTAAATCCATGCCATGAAGTGATTTGATATTAAGTACTTGTAAATGCTTTAGTCTTGAAAACCACTCTAAAGTATTGTCTGTAATCTCAAAAATAGTGTCCACTTTAAGACATTTCAAATAAGGAAATATCACTGGAATTTGATCCAAAAAATCACCATTAATTTGGTCACTGTTTAAAACTAAATGAGTTAAATGTCGACAATTGGCAATACTTGTGATATCCAATAGTTGATCGCAATCGCTATGAAAGCCTTTAATGGACCAGAAATTAAGTTTAGTTACCGACGAAAAGTTTGTAAATTGTTTGAATAGTATCCGAAAATCATAATATTGTTGCACCGCTGCTGTCATTGAAAACGACTCTAAATATTGACAATTATTAGCAATTAATTTGATATTTTTGGCTAATTTGTCATCAAATGTGTTAACATTTAAATGAATTGACAATATTTTCAAGTATTTAAGTTTAGCGATCTCTGCAACAATAGGTGACACTTCATCTGTGTTTTCCTTATATAACGATATATCTAAATGTATTAATTTTGGACATTTGGCCACAAATATGGAAAACAATAATCTATTATCAACTCCAGACCGTCCACTAACTCGAAGATATTTAAGATTTTTAGTCAATACTTCATTATTCTGTACTAAAACATCCAAATAAACTCCGCTTAAAGAGACCAGATTTGGACACAAACTGATAAGTTGTGAATCCGCAGACCGCGGCCACAGCTCCAGTGTCTGCAACTGATGACCAAACTTTACAATCACTCGCATCAAGTCTTGGATATCATACTTAGAGTAAAGCCTTAGACCTTTAAGATGTAGACAGTTATCGATAATAGTATTGAAGACGTGATTCATATTATTTAGTTGACAACCAATTGTGACCTCATTTAATCGTTTGAAACATTTGAGGAAATTTTCAAGTTTTATGATATCCACACAATTGTCAAGCCATCCATCGGAGCTATTAGAGTCACACACAAGACTGTCGACAATATTCAGACTCTTTTCGCAATGACAAAGATGTCGAAGACATCGGTTAAACTGTTTGGATACTGCCATCAATCGGATCGTGTCTTCAGCGGTAAGTCTCTCAAGAATTACTTGACACAAATCATCGCAAAAATGATAGTTAAATGAGTCTTTCGTAATATATCTTTGAGTTATCATAACTGGTCATCACTTGTTGTTGTTGTCATCAATTGATGGTTAAAGTGATGCAAAACTAATGCAAACATAAGTCATATGTAATGACTATAATAAACATCAAGTTTTTGCAAACTATTTGACAAATTGTTTCAATGGTTTATGTATTAAAATCATTGAAAACCAATGACTTTACCAAACATTTAAAAACAAACATTATTTGTGAATAAATATTTGAATTGAAAGTCAATTAAAGTTTGTATCCGTCGATGGGTTTGACAGAGTTGTTGGCCTCACTGCAGACAAACCCCTATTTCGGGGCCGGCTTTGGCTTAGTTGGCGTAACGGCCGGTCTGGCCATTCTTCGAAAGGGTTTTATGCTCAGTGGCCACGGTTTTCAGCGGTACGCTCTGACCACATGTGAAGTGAACAGCAAAGACAAGAGTTTTCAATGGCTGTTGGCCTGGATTTCCCGACAGTCGCGAAACGCTCAACACGTGGCCGTCAATACAGACTTTATTGAGGACGAAGTTGGACGGGTCAGCTCACAGTTCGGGTTTGTTCCGGCGCCGGGAATTCATTTCTTTCGCTATAATCACCGTATATTCAAATGTGAACGAAGACGGGAACAAATGGACGCATTGGCCGGAGTTCCCTATGAAGTGGTGACACTAACAACACTAGGAAGAGACAAAAGTGTATTTTATGAGATCTTTGGTGAGGCCAGAGATATTGCACTTAAAGATTGCGCCGATAAAACAGCCACTTATATAGCTTACGGACACGAGTGGCGACCATTTGGTCGGTCGAGACCAAAGAGACCCATAGATTCGGTCATTTTGGCCGATGGGGTCGCAGAAATAGTCACAAATGATTTATATAATTTTATTACATCATCCAAATGGTATCACGAAAGAGGAATACCATATCGTAGAGGATATCTATTTCACGGCCCGCCGGGCACTGGAAAGTCGTCTTTCATTTTTTCATTGGCCGGACTCTTGCATTACTCTATATGTGTACTCAATGTTTCCGATCAATCCCTTACTGACGACCGTCTCATTCAACTGTTAAACACTGCACCAAAAGATGCCATTGTATTACTTGAAGACATAGACGCCGCCGCTGTCTCTCATAGTTCCCAAACTAATAGCAAACGATATGAAGGGCTGACTCGAGTTACATATTCAGGACTTTTAAATGCATTGGACGGCGTTGTGGGCAGTGATGGACGTATTGTTATGATGACCACTAATCATATACATCTGTTAGACAGTGCAATGACACGTCCGGGAAGGGTTGACCTCAAAGTGCTTATCGATAACGCGACCGACAATCAAATCAGACGCGCTTTCTGTAGATTTTATCCAAACAATAGTGATTTAACTGAAAAATTTTTAGCACACGTTAGGAGTGATTCAAATCCGGTATCAATGGCTAGAATTCAGGCGCACTTCTTGTTGTTCAGAGATAGAGCTGAAGAGACTTTAGCACATCCAGTGTTATAATAGGATGTCTTTATATTTTATGATAAAAATCATGTAATTTAGTGTCAAATTAATATATACACGTTTTCTTTGTTTAAGTGTTAATTTATTCAAAGATATTAAACAATTGAAAATTTTAATTCAATGACACGAAAATTACTTCATATCCTCGATGGATACAACATTACTCTAACTCGACGACCGATAGCCAGTGCCGGCAGATTACGGGCGAACTTTGCGCGGACGGCGCCGGAGTTTCCATGAGGTCGTGTGATTTTACCCCAAATGACCCGCAATTTGCTTTTCTTTCCTTGTCTTCGGGGAATCAGTGACTTACTGTTCGGTCACAAAATAAATCAGTTTAGAGATCATTTAGATGTCATTTTAAATAATTGATCACCAAATTGGTGGACAATATACAAACCTCTTTGCTTTGTAAACATAAGCCACACGTTTGCCTAAATAAAAGTCAGTCTCTCGTCTTCGGTTAACGCCTTCCAGACGAAGAAGTGAAGTATTTTCTCGTTGATTACGAAGAGACCGTTTGAAACCAGTGAAGATAGCCTTGACGTACAATCTGATCAATTGGTAAAAAATACAATACAATCGGTAAGATTTGATGATATTGTCGATCAAATTGTATAAAACTAATGCATACCTTCCCGGAGTGGCCGACTCGAACTTTCCCCGACGGCTCGACTTCTTAACCTTTTTGACCGGTGTTTCGGCAACGGGTGTTGTGGCCGCCGGTGCAGTCTTTGCCGACTTTTTCTTAGATTCCTTGTCTGCCATCACTTGTGAGGAACACTTGATTTACGCGTGTCTTCACTATTGATAGTATTATAGGAAAAGGAAGTCATATATTGATTGCTTTCACAAACATTACGTCCAAACATAGTGTCAGTTGTTTTTCAACTTTTACTTTAATTATTATTATTTGATATTTTTGTCAATTATATTATATTTATATATAAAACTATATATATATTTAAATGTTATTTATTTATATATTTTATTAAATTACAATTAAATTTTATTTTATTTACAATTTATATGAAATTTATTTTATTTTATTAATTTAAAAAATAAATAATTTAAAAAATATATTTAAAAACAAATTTAGTCCTATTCTATATGTAAAGCATAAGTAATAATCAATAAACTCTTACATATATCAAAAGATACTGAAATATTTGTCAATTGTTTGATGAGTAGTTTGAAATCAATGAATTCAATGCTATTATAATAATAAAAAAAATAATGTTTTAAAGTGTTTGACAAACATTACTAAAGAAGTGTCAATTAATTGTATAGATTTTAGGATGAATTAATGGTGACATCAATGGAACAATTACTTACATCTAAGACATCGTTGATTAAGTCATTACTGTTGAAGGGATGGCGCGAGCGTTGGACAGATGTCTTGTGGGGAATCAATATTAAGCGAGTCCTTCCTCGAGGAGTGTCCGGCGATGTCTATGATTTGGCCGATTGTATACTTGAACAGGCATTGATCGCACCTACACCTAACCACCTGTTCCTGTCATATCTGAACCACTGTATCAGTTCGCAAATGGTATCCTATGGATCTGTATTGGCCTCAATCGCTAAATACCAAGACTGGTCTAAACCGCAATGTATTCACTATTTGCTTGAGTTTCTCATCAAATATAAGGAACGGATCTCATGTCACGGCAATGAAGAAGAATGCATACTATTGTCAAAATCTGTTGTATCAGTGCTTTCGTGGATCCATTTGGTTCTCAACCAATCGCTGACTAAACTTCAAGAGTCTAAACAACAGCAAACAAATTTGACACAAAATCAGACAAATCTTCAGTCGTTACACACTTCAGACTCGACTCAATTCATATCAATCATTGAAAAATGCGCTGAATTTTTGTCATTCATGTCTTCGTCAGCTTTTCTCAAAGCACTTCTTTATGTGGGAAAACTAGAAGACAGTCAAACATTTAATCAATTTCTTCAAATCCAAACTGAAATTGAAAGCAAACTACCGATGGCTTCAAATTTATTATCAAATAGAGAGGTATTTATCAGTATTTTTTTGATGACAAGTAGTTGATATAGTAGTTAATATAAGTATTTTTAATTTATTTTAAGCCAATTGACGCTATTATTAGTTTCAAACAACGGGTTGAATGGTTTGACAGCAGTCCGGCTATCGTGGCGTGCAAACAGTTGACCACTTCTATAGATTTTAAGTCATCAAAGCCGACAACATATGCATCACTTAATACTATAATAGCATTTGATGCCATATTAAATCCGGCATCAGATATACAAGTTTGTGTCCAACAAATCTTAATGATTGCCAAATTTAATGACATATCACTGTCGGACCTGTACTGCGAGATTATTCGTTCATGTCTTGTGGGACTCGTAGATGCCAGCGGTTCCCATGAAGATCCTAAACATAACTCTTATCTAAACTCTTGGGCAGCTTTTCTTTTTCTAAAAGTTCCGCAACTTTTTGCAAAACTCAATTCACTTAAGTTATCGAAATCACAATTTTTCAATAATAACAAATCAAATGACGCTTCCAATGATTTGGAAATTGGTTTGGAAAAGTTGTTGACATATTCACCACTTCTTGATTTAACAGACAGTAAATCAAACTGCGATTGTCTTCAATGTCTGCTTAATGAGTTGACTAAAGCAGAGCTCATAAGTAGCGCAAAAGTGGAGAAAATAATGGCTAAACGCAAAAGCGATACACAAACTTTCAGAAATCTTCCGCGTCCTGATCAACAATCAGCACCACAAACGGGTCCACTACTTATATTAAGAGCCGAACCAACAGTGACCAGTATTTTGAAGACATTGGACTCGGATTATAGTAAAAATCAAGAGGCGCTCTTAGGTGTCTTATGTCATATGCAAAAAAGTTTTGAACTGATCCTATGCGCTGCCGCTGCTACCGGCAAACTGCAAAGTTTTACAACAAAACTCATTGAGTTTAATGAGTTTAACAAACAGGCGACCGGCGAAAGTGGAAAGGCATCGCAAACCAGAGCCCTTTTGTTTGACATAACGTTTCTAATATTATGTACAATAGCACAACATTACGGTACAGATATTATTACAATGAATGGCGAAACAAGTAATTCATTTTTTGCCACCTGGTGTGCCCATAATATGAGTGAGGGTGGAAAGTACCGGTGCCCTGATCTACTGCTTAGCAATTGTGATCCAAACAAAGTTGATATACTTTTGAATCAATTTACATCAACAGATAGCGAATTTCGTACTTCTTTAGTCAAATGGCACGAAGTCTGTATGAATGGGCCGCAAGCCATCAAAGAGATCCTATTGGGCTGGGAGTATGACTCCATTACCACTGATAATGTTAAACTAATACTCGATAATGTCAAAAGCAAGATGTGTTCACTACCGGTAGTGATAAGCGCCTGGTTGTGCTCTTATATCAATATATTACATCATAAGGAGCGACTCAAACCCGTGAATATGTTGAAACAATTTGCTACACCACTGGCCACTGATAATATCAATTTGGCTGCTAATAATAACAATAATAATAATAATAACAATACTGCTGTCGATGCTATCGGTAATAATCCAGACAACGGTAGAGGACAGCCAGCGCCTACTGCTGGATCAGATCAACCAAATACTTATTATAAAGAAAGATCAACATTAATGGCAAATATTATTAAGAAAATGTCTAATGATTTACATCCGCAGCAAATAAGTAAAAGTAAAACTATACCATCGTCTTCAAGTGGACTCACTGTTAAGACACCTCTTTGGGAACTAATGGAAAGCAATTTTATTGCTGCACACGAACGCTCGTGGCTCGACCTCAAGACTATCTATAATATGGACACATTATTATGTGTTGGGGGTCCGCAATGGTTTACCGATACGCTTATCAAACAAGTACTCAAGTTTGAGCACTTGAATGACTTGAATCGGGCCATTGATCTTGTATTTGGTTTGTTTCATATGGACATTGAACAGTGCGCTCTGGCACTCATTACAAACATATTACCCAATTATTTGCTAAACGAAAGCAAACAAGAATTCTTGTCGGAACCGAAAGTTTCGGCATTAATTCGTTTAACAATAATGACTATATATGTGGCCCTAAATGAAGTGCAAAACGTACGCAAATTACAGCATAAATCACGGGTTGGCCGTAAACGACATTATTGTCAAGAGATATCACAAGACTTGGAGCCAATGGATGTCGACTCGACAACGACTCGTACGGCCAAATCAATGCGTACCGAATCAGACTCAGAGCTCTTAGAAAACACTCCGATATATTTTGAACGCCAGACCAATGATGTCGACATTAATAATCGTCTAAATGAACCCATTTATAAAGCCATCATTGATTTGCTTCGTCTCTTCACTCTTATCGCTGCCGACTCGACAATAAGTCAGCGAACATTAGTTCCCATTATATTCTTGGAACAACTGATCCTATGTGTCAAAGAAGGCTCCTATAAGATCTTGCAATTGATGCCAATGAATATGATTGGATGTCTTATCAAAACAATACCAGACTCTATTTCGATGCAGTTTTTATTGGCCGTAAGCGATGTGCAAACAGTGCGCTCGCGTAAGATTACGGCCCGACTATTGTGTCAATTGGCTAAAGCAAAGACTATGTCTTAAAACATCTTAAGATATATATCGATAATAACAGAAAAACAGTTTAGTGTCACCAATACTGGTCCGGCGTCGATATCTTCTCTTTACATTTATATGTAATATTTGACTCATTTTTTTTATTTATAATTAGAAAAATGTACATAATTTTATATAAATACCCTAATTGTGTGGACAAAAAATTGTTTGACATAATTAACATATAATTATTTATAAAATATACAGTATTTAACACATGTTTATTTTTCAAAACATATTTATTAGATTATTGGTTTTTGTATATTCAAATAAAACATAATTTTTTGATAAATATTGAAGACTATGAAAAATAGATGAAAAAAATGTGATGTCTATTGATGACAGTCTATGGTAACAGTAATGTTGCCATCAGTAAGTCTATTAATTTTGCGCATCAATGAGAGTCCATTAGTTCTGGTGTTAGTATTGCGTCCATTAGTATTATCTTTGGATGATTGTATCACTTTGTTTTGGTCGTTATTTCCTTTACTTGAGTAGGTTTGTTGTTTAGATCTTTGTTGGCCACTGACTGCAGTCAATTCCACTATTGGCTTGTGTTTAGCTAAACCATTGGCTGCATTTGGATTAGCCGTTAGCTTACGCTTGAGTGAGCCGTTGACAGTGATTGAAGCGGTTGTTGGTTGAGTCATATATTTCGACCGATTGATTAATTTCATATACTTGTTGGCCACTTGCGCCACCATCTCTTCTGTTAAATTTGGATCAATTGTTAGACACCAATTGCTCCCATTTGTTGTGATCTTTTGGGGTCACATTTGAAAAATAAACAAAACTGTTCGGTCAACAAGGGATTCAACTCATTACCGATAAGGTCTTGTAAATTACCGGAACATTTTGGAAATGACTAGAGAGGTAAATGGCAACACAAGCCGCAAATGATGGCGTGTAATGAAGACATAGAGTAGTCAGCCTTAAGAGGTCGCCCGCAATCTTGTAAGCCATGGCGTAAAGGCATGAGTTTATCACAGTATTATTCCTCGAGGCGTTTCCGATCACATGATGCGAGTGAGTGACCATCAAATCAAAACCAAATGTCAATAGCATTTCATTTTCGTTTTGAATCAATTGGTCGGACTCTCTCTTGAATTGCTGTTTAAACAACAAAAATAGTAAACAAATTTAGTAATCAATATATGATATAATTATTTATCAAATCATTGACAACCTCTTTATCGATATGTTTTGACTTTAAACGACAAATGAGAGCCACTTTAACGATATCCTCCTTAATAATGGGTTGCTCTTCAAACTTGGCCGACAAAAACAGACTACAAATACCTATTTGCTGGACATTTAAAATCATATGTTAGACATCAGTCAAACTAATTAATATTATTGTCAAACATTAATCCATATAAGGTTTGTAAAATACATTTAAATATTTTATTAATATTACAACTATTTCCTAAATTAACATAAAAATCAACTAAATTTTTAATTATTATTATTATTTATACGTAATAAGTGTTAACCAAAACATTTATATTATGAAAAAACATGCGATAAATAAAGCATTTGATGAGTCATTGAAAATATTGCATTGCTTTTCAATGTCAATGCGTTTCGCATTCATTACTATTATTATCACTTAATTCAATCACTGAATGGCTATTCTTAACGATAATAATAATACTAATAATTAGCAATAAATTAGACAATAATTATAAGACAACTAATAATAAACACAAAAAACTAAACAATAATATTAGTAAACAATAAATGTCTTAAACATTATTCAATGATATTATCGATTGAAACGTTTCTTAACGTAATATTTAAGACAACACTTACGCAGACATCAAATAATTTGAGAGATCTTAAGGCAAAGAATCGGTGAAAGTAGACAATAGCCGTATTGACAGTTAAGGTGCGACTATATTAAGTAAAGGACAACAACAAGACATTAGATTTAGATGATTATGACCGCCGATGACCTCATTATGTGAGTCAATAAAACACGACTTACAGTTTGAGCACATCTGACACTTCTTTGATAAAATTGGTTCCCTTTTGTCTCAAATGCATCTCTTGATTGATACCAATGTTATGTCTCTTTGATGGCGATATCTGTTCCCAATTATCATTGAATATCCACCGATTGGTGATCACCGAAGAGGCCATAATTATATCAATCGATCCAAATGTGTGCCCAAAACGTGTGTTTATTGTCGAACACTCAGTGGAGCACTAAATGTATGGAATCACGTGATTCACAAACTCACTCATTGGTTGTATTGATTGGGCGCTCAAAACATATATACATATATTGGGCGCTAAATTCAAATACTTTTTCAATGTTCAAAGTTTTTATTATAATATTCAATACATATTACAGTAGTTTCTAATTTAATTTAATAGTTATGAAAAAATACTTAAAATAATTAAATAAAATTGTATATATATATAAAAATATTGTATATGTGAGTTTATTTTTACAAATTAACATGTTTAAAATAACAATTTAATATTAACTATAATAAATTATAATATTAAATTTGTAAATAATAATAAAAATAATTTGTTATTGATTTATTATCCTAACAATCATAACTTTAATGAAAAAAATATTTCAACATTTAAAACTCATATAAATTATTCAAATGTTAAACTTTTAAAAAATACATTAAAAACAAATTGATGTTATTAACTATAATAGACTATTATAATATATTATTAATAGTACTGTAAATATAATTAATTAAATTATTTAATAGATATTGTTTGTAATGACAAAACATGACTGAATTACCCAATGAACTATTTCTATATTAATTAAATCAATTAACTAACAATTGATATATATATATATATATATTACTTATATAATGGATTATAAAATGTATAAACTTATTACTGCTGTGTATTTAATAGTATAAAATTGAATTATAATAAAGTTAATGACACAATAAAAAATCGTTTTAAAAATTAATTTTTTGGTAATTTCATTTTTTTAAAATAATATATTTTAAAAAATTAATTCAATATTATTATGATATATAAAATATTTTATTAATTTATATTAAAAAAATATTATTAATGAAAAATAAGTTAATGATATTTATAACAATTTTACAGTAATAATAATTATTATGTGTAATTGACTTGTCGTGATGTTGCCAATTATTTAAATGTAATATATTTTAATTAAAAATTATACATTTATTTGATATATGTGTAACAAAAATTAATTTAATTATTAAATGATATACTTTAACAATATTTTAAAAAATAACTTCAAGGTATTTTGTTAAGACATTTGTATTTTATATTATATAATAAAAATATTTGATTTAATTAGTTATTATATTTATAGCATATATAATAGTACATAAAAATAGTCATTTCAATGTAATACTTTGCTCATTATAAAGTTTATTTTAATTAAAAATAATTTTATGTTAAATAATGATAATAATAATATATACAATTTTTATATTGATTTATCCTTCATTTAAACAATTTTGTACATTGTATACAAAAAAAGTTAAATTTTGGTTTATCATATAAAAACATTATATATATATACACTGAAACAAAATCTGTTTAATAAAAATATAGATAATTAATGAATGAATATATAAAAAGTAAAATGCAATGCCTTTCGGGTTATTTATTGGGAGTTAACTCTACTTCAATTGCAACTGATTTGCACACAAAATAAATCTATCATTAAAAATAAAATATCATTATCTTTAAAATAAATACATAGTTATATACATATAAATATAATATATTTTATTATTTAATTGTCAAAAAATATTATATTTTTTTATAAAAAAATCATATATTAATATGTGATCAAATTGTTTTCAAATTATAATACTATTTTACAAAAAAAAACACCACATCCTTGGCCTCCATTTCTAACATTCTCTCTCTCTCTCTCTCTCTCTCTCTCTCTCTCTCTCTCTCTCTCTCTCTCTCTCTCTCTCTCTCTCTCTCTCTCTCTCTCTATTATATTTTTAATCAGATATTCAATTGACTATTCAATATTTTTTTAAATAAAAAATACTATAATAGTTGTGATATTTAAAAAATAGTTTAACAATAATTAATCAATTTATAGCGTGTTATTTAAATTGATAATATTATAGCTGAATAATCTTATTGTATTTTTTGATAAATAAACTTATATATATATATATATAGATTTTAATATTTTAACAAAATTAATACAGTATATATATTTATAATAGTTCATTTATATTGTTGTATACTTAATATACAATATCTTTTATATATATTTATATATAATACAGTATTATAGTATATCATATAAAATGAGGGAAAGTTATCATATTTTTTAAATGTCTTTAATTAATAAAATAATATACAGTGTATATAAATATTCAAAGTAACAACACATGTAAATGTTTAACAATGTTAGAGAGCATATCAGTTAATGGCATAAAATATATACAATATTACTTAAATTTTGTGATATATATTAATAATTTATTTGATATAATTTTTTACTTTATTTTTATCGACAATTTATGTATTTAATTTATTTACTGGCTCAGAGATATACAGCTTTTTTGTATATAATAGACGGTTCAAAGTCTATGATATATTCAATTTTTGCTGACTTATTATAAATATTCATATAAATAGGTCACATAAGCTATCTTTTATAATTAATAATTTTTTTGATAATTTATTTGTATTAATTAATAAAATATTAAATTTAATTTTTTATGATATTTAAGTAAAATTAACAAAAATTGGTTATTATTACTAAATTAAAATAATAATAATAACAAACTAACAAAACTTATTAAACTTAATAAATTTATTAAACTTTAGCATATTTTAAAAAAATTATGACTATTATAAGCAGACAATATTAAGCACATATAACTATTGTTTTGATATTATTTATTTGTTTATAATTATGGTATTAATAAAATACACTTAATAATGTTACTCAAGTTACTAAAAATTTATTTATCATAATATAAATTATTTGATATTTAAAGTGTTATTTTATTTAAAATACGAGAATATAATATTTAGTAAATTATTATTATTGTATAATAAATATATTTAATAAATAATTATTATAATTAATAATAATGTTAAATAGATAAAAAACAAAATAAAAATTAAATTCACCTAAAATAGTATAAATGCTATTTTATTATAAAAGTCTCATTTCTTATTTATTTGAGATAAATTAATAAACTATGCATTTATGCTAAAAATAAAATGTAAAGTATAAATAATTACTAAATATACAAAAATAAATGAAATACTACTCATATATCGGCAGATGTTTGAAATATATTAATAATAAATAAATATTTATATATAACTGGAAGCAAATAATATTATTTCTGTCATCAAATTAATTTAATTTTCTACAGATAAACATATTATCAATAAAAAATAATATAATTACAGTATTTATCACACATTTATATTTAAATAGTAAGTCAATGACTAGATAATAATTAAGTAAATAATCGATAATTTTCATTATTAAATATAATATCTATCTATTTATAATATATAATTTTTTTTTTGAAAAAAAATCTTAAAATTGCATTTTTTAAACTAAAAAATTAATTAAATTAGTATTAATAGCTACTTTAAAGTTTGGCTCCGATGACACCCTAGAGTTAGACATCATGTCGTGTGTGTGGCCATTATATATGCAAATATATATATATATGTTATCACTTTGACCTAATAATTATTTATTTAAGGTAGTCATACGGCTATAATTACGGTAACATTTAAAGACAACCAACCAATAATACCCAACACTGTCTATTCAAATGGCTCTCTAGTTTGTCATCTATGTATAGCTGTCGGGGCATTAACTTTGTAGCCATCGGTTGTTTTTAGTCAACAAAAATGTTATTTTTAAGTTAATAACTATAATTTAAAAAAATCTATAGTTATGACATTATAAAAGTTATATATTATTTAGCTGTTTGTGTGTAAGTTATATATTGATATTTTTAAAATAAAAAAACCTGCAATTAATTTTTATATATTATTCACATTTAATTTGCATATAAATGGACTATAATTTGAATTTGAATACTACACTCATATCTTCATACTATTTCTACACTAATATAATAGTATAATACTATTAATTATTGTATTCAAAACATTGTTTATTGTATGATAATAAATATAATCACATTAACATAGAGAGTACATTGATAATTTACATTTAATGATAATATTATATACATATAACCAGTATACCGCGTGACATCAGATAAGCTGAGCTTTACAATATGCACTACTTTGTCATACTGTATACAAAACTTTTTTCAAAGATCGAAAAGTCGGTGAACCCGTTGACTCACCCAAATCTTGTCAATTACAAATTTATAGTACTATATATCTACTAATTAAATATTATTATTAAAGATTTTTATCAATTATAAATAAATTAAACCTTTCCCAAAATTCACCAGGTGGCGCTAAAAATCTGAAAATGGTCTGTAAAAATCTTAATTTATGTCTACTATAGCCTCAAGTAATAAAATTAATATAAGTCTGTTTTTGACTGAGTTATGACCAATTTTAAATTTTCAGTTTTTGAAAATGTTACCTTTTCGGGTTTTTATCTAATTTCCCGATGGGGTAGAAAATTGTTATTAATATAACTTATAATATCTATTGCTACATATATTATTGTCAGGTTTCCATATTTTTATCTATCACCGTTAAAAAGTTATGATATTTTTAAATTTTTTCAGTTTTCCGCTATTTTGACCACTTTCTTCATTAATGAGAGATTTTTCTACAGCGGGTTTTTTCATCATTTTTGACCCCCTAAACCATCCCGTTGAGAAACCTCGTCTACATCAAAATCCCGGACCCCTTGCAGGTAATTTCGACACATATTTTACTGGGATACGCGTCGGTCGACCTTCGGTCGACCTCTGTGTATCCCGCTTCGCTTCGCTCAGCTTATCTGATGTGAATTATACAGTATATACATGAATAGACTAGTAATTAAATTAGACAATTTTAATACAAACAATTTTATTTACATTTTTGATAATTAAGATACATTAAACTTTTTAACACAAAAAAATATATATTAACTATATTATTATTTATAATATTACCTGTATTTTATTAACAAGCTACTTTATTAAATTAGGTATAAAACAGTGCAAAAATAAATGTAAAAATAATTTCAAATAGAGGACGCAACCGGTTCCATGTAAAAAGTTGTTAACAAAATTGCAATACGTTTTTATGAGATTTTTT